ATCTCAAACGTGCATAGCTTTAAATGGAGACTACCTTGAAGTGTAAACTTGTTTAATAAACCATATCTTTCATTTTCGATTTTTAATTCACGTAGTCCAGGAACTTTCCGGACAAACTGTGTATATATATTTTTCTCACCTGGAAGAGCTTGTGCTGAGCAGCTTCCCATTCGACGCAATAGCCACCCGATATCAACACCGTCGCGTTCAACTTCTCGGTGACGTTGTTGATCTCGGTGCTGTTCCAAACGTCCAACCACAATGCCGTGTAGTTGAAGTCGTTCAGAGAGTAGCCGCCCAGACCGGGCAGACTGCTGTAGTTGAGGGTGTAATCCTCGGTGGAATAGGTCGCCGCCGATGTCGAGGTGGTGAACGACGTCGTCGTCGAGGACGAGAGGAGGTTGCTGGCGGCTGTTGCGGATGAATCAGTCGCGTTCGCCATTTTTTGTCGAAGGCGCGTAACACGTGCCATCACCTTTGACGTCTGGAAGCGATATTCGCGAGCGTATATATTAACGCGCGCGCTGATATAACACGCTAACGCAAGATTAAAGTTAAAATTACAAAGCCACGAGAGATAAGCGAGTCATAATCATAAATCATCCTCGGTTTAATTTCCGTCGATCTCTGACATGGTGAAACATTTAAAATTCTCATTGCGAAGGCCGTATACGCGGCCAATTAAAGTGCCGGATTTAGTTCGAAGAGATTTCCTATCCGACGAACAATTTTCGATATCCGTTTAACGCTTCCGATATGCCCCTGTTGACCTTTATCGTATCGGAGACGCTGTGTCCATGCATATACATGTACACACAGTACACGTGTATATTCGTGCCCTTAATTTATCGAAATTACAGTTAAGCATCTGACTGTCAGATTTACGGTGAAGAGAGCCGAAAACAAGCCGGGGGCGATTAGCGTGGAATATCGATTCGGCGGCTCTTCGTGATTCGGGATGCAATATCTGAGCTTTATTATCTTCGAGGTCGCGTCGAAGGGGGCTGCGTGACTTCAACATTTCGTTTCGCCGCCGTCGGCGGCCCGAAGATTTCGCAGGATATTTTCTGACCGAACGGCGAAAATCTCGAAATAGCATGCAGTTAAGGATCGGCCACGTCATCGCTCAGGAAAGTCGATCTTATCTCCGCGGGGCCGAACTATGGTACTAAAACCGCTTTGAAAACTGTAACGCGGACGATTCTCTTTCTTTCTTTCTTTCTTTCTTTCTTTCTCTCTCTCTCTCTCTCTTCCTCCCCTTTTCTCACATGCGCGCACACATACACACACATCATAGAAATCGCGCAACTAAACAAAAACCTCTTGGCACGGTTATCGGCGGCGCGTTTAGACTTCCCTCTTTTTCCCGAAGATATATTGTCGTAACCGGTAATTTCTACTTCAAAATAACGTATCTCATACGAAACCCATTTAACAGCTCATTTCTTGCTTCCGTTTCTCGGATTCGACGATTCCGCGTGATTTCTTGTTGTACATCTTGCACGAGCTTAAACCACACCACATTCTCTGATTCTCGTGAATTAGCTTCTTGCGAGGAACTGATATTTATAACGCGAAAGAAACAAATTGTAGTACACTCGTACGCGTCTACATATGTTATTGTGCGCATGTATTTCCGATGTCTCTTTTCTGATTTCTCGTAATATACAACAAGATCGATCACGAGAACTCGATAACAAAAAGAATTTGCCGCTTTTCGCGCAAATTGTGCAAAAAACATCGATACGGAAAGGAAGCGCGAGATCACGCAAAGAGAAAATTTCGATTATCTTCCATCGCGAGGCACGTCGAGTTCAATTTGTCATATCGTCACTCCCTACGTATAATCCCGTAACTCCAAAACGCAAATTTTAGAGGAGAGCAGTTTAAAAGTTTGAAGCTTCATATAGTTTCCCTAGTTAAGGGATCTTTCGGTTTTAAATTTTTACCTTACTTATGAATATTTTTTTTTAATACTTGGTGACCACAAAGAACATGATTTTCTGAGTGTCACTATGCAATGAACTGAAAATCCCATATGTGACACTTATGTAATTATACGTAGGGAGTGACGATATGCCGACCGGCCAGAAATGTCATTTGAGGTCCTTTCCGGTGACACGCGCCAATAAGCACGGATCCGGTTATCTCGGAATGATTCAATATCATTATTCGATCTTCGATATTTCCGTCCGAGTTAGGCCGGTGACACGAGCGGCGCCTTCTCTATTATCGAAGATGCCCGTCGTCGTCGCGTCGCCGGTCGCCGGCCGGAAATTCGTCAGGACAATTTTTTTTCCATCCCCGATTCATCCACCGTGTATAATAGGTGTGTGTAAGCTGAAATCCAAGACTCCGCCTCCCGGGAGAGAGAAGAGAGAAACGTGCGGAGAAAATCCGTGTATCAATATGTGTGTACGTGTGTGAGAGAGAGAGAGAGAGACAGAGAGAGATTTCGAGTACACTTTTTATTTCGAACTAAATTCCTTTTTTATACGTTTGACTTTTTGCAGAAATACACACGACGCGTTTATATTCTCTCCGGAATCTATTGAAAGTTACTGGTCCGCTCTCTCGCGAGAAAGAAGACTCTCTCTCTATATTTAAGCACATAAACGTTCCGATTTGTAAATGGGAACAGAATGAGAAAACGTAGGTAGGTAGGTAGGTAGGTAGGTAAGTGTCATTAATTTTTTGCACTTTTTTTGCGATATATCGCTCGTGCGCGCGCGCTTTTCCCTCTTCATTATTTCTTTATGACGGAGATATAAATTGGCGCGCGACCGAGTGTGCCCGCGCGGTGTGCCTCCGAATATAAAACAGTCAGAGTGTGGAATTAAAAATAGTGTGTGTATGTAGGTCATATTGCATTATAAATTCCACGGCTAAATTGTATCTAAGAGAAAACCGGATATTGTTTACACAGCGCGCGCTTTATTCATCTTCGATGTGTGTATTATACGTCCAACACACGGAGTTGGGAAATAGTACGTAGAAGTCACGGACGTGTGTGTGTGTGTGTGTGAGAGAGAGAGAGAGAGAGAGAGAGAGAGGGTGTCCGAAGGTGTTGCAATTAACTGGATTTTCGCGTTTCGATGCGATCTCTAACGCGAGGTAACGTCTACCACCACCCCTCCCTTCGGTTGCCGCCGTTCGCGAAAGCACGCTCCGTGCGTTCCGTTATGCAAATCCTAATTCGCGGCTTTAGACCGCGCCGCGATACAAGTTTAATCCTATCTTGATATCCTTTCGCTTAATCTCCGTCCGTGTGACGTAAGCTGTTTCCTCGCGAAAGGAAACGCGAAGTAGCTAGATAATCGGCTTTACAGCAAGCGAGAAAGTGGTAACTATCAGATTTCATCGTTTCTGCGCCGCCGCCGCCGCCGGCTGCTTCAGTCCCGCATTTTGACGTACTTATTTCCCTTGACGTTTTCGCACGGGTGTTCTAATTAATTTTGAGAAGTGGATAGAGAAGAGAGAGAAGTTGCGGGAAAAAAGACAAAGAGAGAGAGAGAGAGAGAGAGAGAGAGAGAGAGAGAGAGAGAGAGAGAGACGGAAGTTTGATTACTATTTCAAATAAAAATGTCCGAAATCGCTCGCTTCGTCTCCGCACGAGACTTAAAATTCAAGAGCCATTAATCCGCTCGTTCGAGAAAGTTTAATTTCGAACTCCCGAGTAGTTTCTAGCGAAATCTGTCGATCCGTTGTTCTTCGCCAAAGAACTGTGTAATTTGTGTAATCTCCCCCGTTGAATCGTTTGATCCTGAACGCGCGCGCGCGTGACGTCGCTATAACGACGTCGGGCAACGACGACGAGCGTGAAACAAATAAATCGTCTCGCGGTCCGAAAAAAACGCCTCTTTTTCACGGGAAGGGAAACCAAAAAGTTTCAAGGTCATCGTGCCGCCGCGCCGTGTGTATCGACTAAGCTGCTCGTATGCTAATTAAGCACGAAAGCCAAAGAGAGGCTTTCGTGACTGGCCGTGCTCACTATCGCCCCAGAAGACCGTATTCGCGGCTTCTATGTGGGCTCGGTCTGTGTGGGTCAGGGTAAATCACGTGACATCATAACAGGGTGTGGTGATTTACGCGAGGTTCTAAAAGTCACCCTGCAATGCGTGTGTATGTGTGGGTGTGTGTGTGTGTTTCTTGCTTGCATTCTTGCGATCGTTCCTGACCGAGTGACCAAAGCTAACTTCTGAAGAGAGCTTTCGGAGGAAACACGCGTACGGAATCGATAATGTGTGAATAGACACATATATATACGTATGGTTTGCAATGTTGGTTCAACATTGTGCGACGATATCCCACGCACATTACATGCACATTGACGCTGCGTTTGTACCCGCGTTTATCAACAAATTCTTTCCGTTCTATCTTCTTTTATTTATTTTTAATCTTACTCTCGTTTATTGATAAATAATATTAATAATAATATTTTTTTTCTTCATAATATCATCTCTCTGTTCACGCAACTTCATTTTTGAAAGAGAGCGAAAAAGAAAAAAATTCGAATGCACTCTTATTATTGCTCGTGTCGTGCACCTGTATGTAAATTGGATCTCCTGAAAATATGAAAATGATTCTGTCGACCGTCAAGATACGGCTCGCGTGACGACAAGCTCCTTTGCTTCTTTTCCTTCCGTTTGCCACTTTGTGTCGACCTCAAAGAGATATGTCGGTCTTGCGGCGAAGAAACTGACGTCTCGTCGGCTTCCCTCCGACTAATTATATAGAGGAATATAAGAAGAATCAAATTTTTCGTTTAAACGACGCTCGATTTTTACGAAAAAATAAATTCAACGCCGTAACGTTCGAATTCGACAATAAAAATGCAGATGAGACGGGGGATTGAAAATTCGACGACGTGATGTGACCGCCTTGGAATCGCCGAAGCGGACAACGTCCCGTCGCACCCGATTCATTTTGCGACAGACAGGGCGATGGAGCGGCGGTTTGGCGGAATCGGACAGCTTTCGAATTGGATTAGAGTCGGATACAAAACGGAAATTCCACGGCACTCCCCCGTCGCTCTTCGATTCCTCGTAAATCCCGGAGGAAACGGTTTCGGAGGCCGAACGCGCGGCGATTGATCGGTCAATGCAATTTATACCGATGCAATTACCCCGCCGCCAACTTTATTTCCTACGCTGTCCTATGGAAATGACTCGCCCATTTCCGCGAGCGTCACTCGGGGCTATTTCCCGTCAGCCCCGTTGTCAGTACTCTGTGATCTTCGCAGCGATTATCGCAACAGCTGTTTTATATCTGTCAATCTCTCGTAACGTGCCAACACGCGTGCGTGCAACATTAAGATCGAGGTTTCTCTCCCGACACTCGCCGCTATCTGTCCTTGTAAAAATCATTATTCGCCCGTTATAATTGCGCGTTTTATTATTTTCTTCTCTCAAACAATTTCCATATCTCGATCGAGAGAAATTTAGAGATTAGATTGTTTTTTTTTTATTTACGGATAATTCGTTGTATTTCCGTGACGCGAGATCTCGTGCGTAGGTTTTATCAAAAAAAAAAAAAAAAAAAGAACAAAAGATTATGTCATCAAAGTTTCCGATCAAATCCTCGTTGGACTTGTGCCTGGATTGTGCACCGGGAACACTTGTTGCCCCGTCAAGCTTATCGTGCGCGAGTCCATCGCGCACGTAAATAGCTTCGCGCGCGGACTTCTCGACCTCCTCCGCGCGTGTACAGAACTCATGCGCGATTATACACGTCATAAGTAAATCAGAATCGCGTGTGGCAGTGACGTCCTTTTTCGTCGGGTCCACTCATCAATCCTCAATTGCGCGCACTTTAAACACTTGAGTGGAACGTCTTCACTATGCACTTACAAGACAAGTGGAACAAAACCGTAAAAAAAAAAAAAAAAAAAAAAACAAACAAATGTCCGACCTACGTCACGTATCGTATAAAGTATAAAGCGATGTGAGAAACAACGAGATAAATATAAGATGGCACGAAGAGAAAGCCTCGGGGAAAAAGGGATACCGAGAAGTGATATTACGTCAAAGGTAAAATAATATGTTGTGGAAAAAGCGAGAAAGAGAGAAATAAAAGAGAGAAATAAAAGAGAGAGAGAGAAAAGTCTTAACCCAGTTCGGGTCTCGACAATTGTATATTGAAAATGATGAACTTTATACACGCAGGTATATTTAGACTGTGAATATTTTGCGCACGACACGAGTGATTAGAAATTTTATTTCGTCTTCCATATGCGAGGATCAACCCGATGAGCTAATTGATACACGCGATTTTGTTTTTTTTTATATCTGCTGTCAGAATCTAAATGTTTTTCTTTTTTTGAAGTAACTTAAATTGCGGGCTGTTAACCCTCGCGTGTTAATTCTCCCTCGGGCGGGGAAAGAAACCGAGAAAAGATTCTGGAGAAGCTTTTTAATAGGACAGAGTCTCTTCTTGTAAACAGCAGCTTGAAAACAGCTGTGTACAATGTGGCGCGCGAAGGGGAGGAGGATTGGGACGAGTGTGCCGTACACACGAGGGAGGGCTATCGACCCTTTCGACAGTGACGGAGGAACCACGCAGTCTGCTCTACGTGCGATTCTCTTACTTGAAGACTGTTACACGTCGCGATATGCGTGACGTTAAATTGGCCGTAAAGTTTCCCTCGGCTCCCCTTCCCAACGAAAACTCGCGATGACTCTTAAACAATTGCGCTCGCGCGACGAAAAAGAAAGAAAAGAAATAGGTTTGTTTTTAGCACACGTTTAAAAGAAGACACCGACAATACGCTAGACTTTCGGAATTTTGCACACATGCGAATTTGCGCACATGTTGCATCTTGTGCAGCAAACGAACGTTATATGCGGCGCGTATTTTGCAAATGCGTATTATTATTAATATTGTATTAATCAAACTCGTCATGTCGTCGAAAGTAATTGGCAATCAATCTGTTTGCGAGTATGTATGTATTATAAACTAAATTATAAATTGAAATAATAATTCAATTTATGCGATTATATCGTGAATTCCATGCTTATACGTTGTTACAAAGCAAATTACATGTTCTATGTTAATTAAGCTTTCCGATTAACGCAATATCCAGAAATTAAATGCATTTTCCTCCGAAGCGCGATAAAGCTGTCCCCGTTTCGCTTTCTTTTAAATATCTGAAGGGCGCGCGTATAAAGCTCAGTTTCTTCTCTCTCTCTCTCTCTCTCTCTCTCTCTTTCTTTCTTTCTCTCTTCTTCTCTCTGTCTCTCACGTACAGAAATTGTTACAAATTGCGAAGTTAGCGACTCGTTACTTGCAACTCTCTTTGCACGAACGTTAAAGCAACAGGTAAATGCTCTAACGTCGCATGTCACAATTAATTTTTTCTTCGCCACATCGCCCGTTAATCGAGACAAACGCGCGATCGACCAAGGAGATTAGAAACACACAAAAAAGATAGGAGATCTTAATGACTGAAAATTTTTCTATACATCGATGCGCTCTCTGCGGTTCTTACCTTATGGTGGATAAGCGATATGTCTTTTGGAGTGCAGGATGATGCACCTCAGTCTGCTGTGAGTATGCGTCGACAGCAGCGAGCACGCTGAGCTTTCTTTGTCCTCGTCCGAATCCGCGACGCAAACGACCGTCATTTCGCGCGACACCATCGCAAACCGGGTTTATTATTTCCCTTTCCACCCTCGTTCTTTTTTTTTTTTTTTCTTCTTCTTAATCTCTCGGCGATCTCTCGGCCACGAAGAAAGAAATGAGGGTCTCGGTCTAGATCACCACGCGTAGATACAAAGTCTACAGTAATTATCGCGAGAGTATCCCGCAATTCGTTTTAGCATAACTTTTGTTCTTCTCTTCGCGGCCTTGTCTCTCGCTTGATCTGAATGCCTGAAAAATCATCACACACACACACACACACACACACATACGATTTGCAAATCAGAGAAATTTTAATTCTGCCTCGTGGCTATATTGATAAACGAGTGTCGCACAACGTCTTGTGTTCTCGAGTATCATAAAGCCTCTGACGCAAAGTTTAGATTAGTTACGCAAGTTAGTTCGAGAGAGCTTCGAGATGATGTGTTGACTCGCGCGATGTGACCTATTGTCCGACAAGAATTGCACATTGATTTTTTTTCCCAGTCAATTTAAATTAGAAAGTTAAAAAAAAAAAAAAAAACGGCAATTTTTTCTAATTGACATCGAATAGTTTTTAAACGGCTCGGGGAAAGAAAAACAAACCCGTTTCAATGAGTCGACGCGAGCGAGTTGAATTCTCGAGATTTCGATTAAATCCGAGTTTTCATTGTTAGCGATGATTCGGATTCAAAGCGTCACTGAAAACAATTTGTATCCTCGTAGCGTTTAAGAATTCATAAGCGCGCCTCTTACCGTTACCTCAGAAGAAGAAATTTAATTCTCAGAGTGTTCCAGAAATATCCGGAATATTACTTTTTGTTCTCAATTAATTGAAATCGACGAGAGACAATTTTGGACCAATTAGACAAAAGTGAGGATTAAATTAATTTGTTGAATGTAAGATAAAGCAAATAAAAAAAAACCTTCTGATTGAGTTTATATATACATTTAAAAATTTGAAAAATATTTTTCAAACTTCGAATATTTGAACCACGTTGGTGATTTTGGTCTCACGCGAATATTTAAATTATTCAAGTTTACATCTTTAACTAACAATAATAATAATAATAATAATAATGATTCAAATACATGCGAAATCATCAATCAATTATTGCCGTCAAATTGTAAATACGAAATTCAACAAATGATCATTTAAACAACCAATCGAAATCCGTCATTAGCTAACTCACCTACACCGAGCGACCGAGCGGAATAATAAAAAGAACAAAGATATGTATAATCTTGTGTGTCAAAACTTTATCAGTCAGCAGGCGTCAAATTTGGATCAATAGCGATTATGTGTTGCTTATATATTTCACTTTTTTTTTTTTTTTTTTTCCACCGAACCTTCCTGAATTTCTTAAAAAGAAAGATGAGAAAGGTTTTCTTTGTACAAACTCTCTGCATTTTCGAAACCACGAGAGCGAACTGAATAAAAAATTTCGAGTACAATTGAGCGATTCTCGTTGCAATCTCCGCGAGTCAACAACGTGTGTAGGCCGAGAGATGCATGTTTTCATCACACACTGCTGATCAATAACAATCACACACATCACCTTTCGATATCAATCTCGTTCGTTTGCAATTCCCGTGAATCTCCAGCAGAGCTACATCGATATAACGCCACCAGCGAGATTACCGTCAACACTCTCGGATGCTTTATTCTCTCTCTCTCTCTCTCTCTCTCTCTCTCTCTCTCTCCCTCTCTCTCTCTCTCTTTCTCTGATAGCTCGCTGGAGGCTGCTCGAACATGCACGTCGAACACGCACGCACGCACGCACACGCATACATACGTACATACATACATACATACACACACACACGCGCGCGCGCTCGGACATATACTCTAGCATCATCTCCTTGCTCTTAACGCACCGGAGTGTTCCGTCCGCTCGTCAGCAAGGACACGGTAGCAGCGTTAGCAGCATCAGCTCGAGGAGCGGATCGTATCCTTCACTGGAGCACTGTTTACACAGCAGAACGGGCGCCATGGTCACTGCCGCCAGGAACGAGGAGAAACGGTCCTCAACGGCGACGGCGGCGTGTCCTTCGTCCTGCCGGCGATGTCCTGCTGCTCCGCGTACACGGTCCACTTTACAGGACACGACGTCATCGGCGGGAGGACGAGACAAGTAGGACGGCAACCACCACTCGTATGTTCATCTCCGCGCGAAATCTCCGGAGTACAACGGTCACCTTCTCTTCTCTGTTTCTCTCTCTCTCTCTCTCTTCTTCGTCGGTCACCGCGCGAGGCTCTTCTCACTCCCCTTCTTTGCCACCCACCTGCCCACTTTCAACCCCCTCACGCTCGCTCGATCGCTCACATCTCTCTCGGGTTCCTTCAGCCGCCCTGCTTCGACAGCGCGTAACTGTGCACTCGAGGGAGTTACACTCCGCGCTTCTAAGCCTCTCGCGACACTAAACTCCACTTAGAACTAGCGCCACGCCCTCCATACAGGTGGCACCACCGCGCGCACCCCCTTTTCCCAAGGGCCGAAAGCACATCCCCCCAAAAGTGAAGTTCGAAAATCCCAGCATGTCGTTCTCACATCGAGTTGCGTCAATTTTCGATAAGTCGAAGTCCGGAAAATGTATATGTGTACACACGGATCGGATTTATATCGAAAAATGGTGCAACAACTTCACATTCAAGAAAAGACGTCGATGAAAAACTGTTATTGTGAATAAATTGAAAAATACTTCTGTTGTAAAAATCGATATTTTTTTTTTTTTTCTTTTTTTTCAATTCTTTTCTCCAACAATTCTTACTTTGAGAAAAGTTTGTTTTCGGACAGGTTTTTCTGGGAAAAAAGCGACAAAAATGTGAAATAAGAATTGTTGGTGAAAAAAAAGTGTAATACCGTGTTAAATATTGTACTGCAGTTTTATTTATTTGTATTTACAAATGAGAATAGTTTTGAAATTCGATTAAATGTGGGCGTTTTTATATGTTGCGTCTCGTGTATGTAAAAATTTGTATCTTTTTTTGTTTTGTTTTTTTAAGTAAGAAATCCTAAGATTTAAGCTAAAACTCTTGCTCAATCTTCCTATTTACAGAGATATACGTTATATATAGGCGCGATTTTGTGTACATTAATTTGTATGTAAATCTTAGATTTATTTAATATATTTATCGCTTCTGAGAAAATCGTCATCTTGTGTTTGCTTTTCTCAGAACATTCGTGGTAATCCAAAACTCGTCAAATTTGTTATTTACAACTATGTATAAGAACATTTTCAAATGTACATTATGTGCACAACACTTCGCGTAAAGTGCTTTCGTTGCAAATTTCGTTGGTAGATAGCAATAAATAACAATGTATATATTGTACAATATTGCGATCAGTGACGTGCGCGACTTGCGCTTCGTTTGACAGATAACTTTCTGAAACAAGGGAACGTTTAAAAACATGTTCAATCACGAAGTAACCCATGGTTAAAACGTGTTGCTGAAAATATCAAATTTTAATATCCGAAAGTATAAATATATATGCACTGTACTGGAAAAAAGGCGTATTCTTCGTCTTTTTCACCGCCGTTAGTCCTCGCACGACCGCCAGTAATCCGCGTTCTTGTAATCGAAGGCTTGCATGTCGTGATCGGCATCATCGACGTCAAACAAATTCTCGTAATTCGAGAATGAGGCGTAATGCTATTCGTCGTCGACGATCTCGCAACTGTGGTACTTGCTGGAGGAGTCCATCCAGCTCTCCACGCCGCTGGATGCCAGATCGTCGCACGACGGCAATTCCGGGAGTGGCTCCATATTCGGCGCTCCCATCTTCGTCAGGTTGTTCGCCACTTGTTCTTTGTATGTCGCGTTAGTAACTGAAATAGAATCACGTGCCGCCAACCAATCTATTTGAGAATTGATGCGAATCACAATATCGCGCAGCGATATTTGAAAAAAAAAAAAAAAAACAACAGCTCGACAATACCGTTGTTGGACGTCGGTTTGGTTTCCTTCCTGCGAATCAACGCCTGTCTGCAGGCTCGAGGACTTTTGTACTCGCCGGTGAGTCCCAACCCGGCACTGATAGTGGGAAGTCGAATGTCCAAGTGTGATCCTTTATCCGTAACTATCTATTGATTTCGATTTAAAAAATATCGGAGTCAGTTTTTTAATTAATTAATTATTTAAATTTTTCCGGACAATACCTTGTTATTCATCGCATACAATTTTGTCGCGATATCTCTCGCTACCAGCGTGGTCAAGACGGTTGCGAGATACGTTTCCTTCACGAGCAAATATTCCAAGGCTGATCTCTGCCAGTACAGATACCTGCAGGAACTAGCTGCGATTATTGATACCTGAAGAATCAAGTTCAAGATTCACACATATATTCGCGATGTGTTTGATAATACCGAATCAACGGGGAGCGTCGTACCTTGAATTTGTCGTCAACGGATGGCCGAGAACTCTCAAATTCCGGCGAATCTAGAAATTCACAAGGCAATATCGGATGCAAGAAATTCGTGTCGCTCAGAACGTTGACTTTGCCAGTGAGCAGCAAACCCAATCTGTCCGTTCTCGTTAGATTCTGCATCGCGTACGCTTCGCCAGCGTGCAGAGACATTATCGTCGCGAACTCTGGCGATACCAATCGTTTAAACTGCAGTCGTGAGACCTGCAAGCGTAAGATGTTGAAAAACAAATTGGATTATTTATGCGACTGTCAAAGAATTGCGTTACGAATTTTTGCAAATTCGCGAGAAAGCCTCACCTTGAAGGGGTAAAAGAGCGTGTGATAAGCTTCTTCTAATTCGGGATCGAATCTGATGGGTCTCATTTGATAAATAATATACACTAATTGGCAGATGTTGAGCAACAAAAAGCTAAAGTTCCAAGAGAAGATATCTGGTGCGCAAATCACGTGCCAAGCCCATCCGGATAACAACATAAAGCCTGGAAAAGATATTTTGAATAAAAAAAAAGTTTTGATAAAAGTACGACTTCTTAATTCTATTAAGTTTTTTTTTTTTTTTTTTTTTTTTTATCAATTTCTCACCTATGATCAGTACCGAGTGCATGAACAGAATTCCTTTTCTGGAAGACGGTGCCGAGTACGACAGTGCGAAGCAAAAATTCGCCAACTGGAACAAAATGTGTTGCGGCTGTTGCCACAAGCACAACGCGGTGTTTCCTTGAAAAGGAAAAAAAAAAGGAAACAATTTGAACAGATTGATATTTGTTGCTTTTCATAAACTTTCGCACGCGAAACGCACGTTTCTGTCGCGTGCGAAACAACTTTTCATTCGCGCATAGGGTGGCAATTTCTAATTGTTTTGTCAACTAATTTTCACTCGCGAGAGAAATAAATTCGCAAAAATATTAGAAAAAAAAACTACAAGTTCGTTCGTCGTAATTTTACAAAATAAAAAAAGATGCGTCTCGCGTATGTGCGAGGCGAAATAAATTTCGTGATAATTTTTGTCCCGAAGAAAAAACTCACCGATAGCCGTCATGTTATACGACGGCAAGGGATCGTGTCCCAAGCCAGGACTCATTTTTCGTTTGAGGAGCAGAACACAGTATCGCACGTTTAAACAAAGAATACAAGAATCAACTGTTTGCGTTGGCCGATATATTTCTTTCTCTCGAGCGAGAGAGAGCTCCGTCTGTTTTCGCTTCTCGTACACGCGGACGTTGAAGAATATCCTTCACGGCGCATGCACTCCCGTCGCGGGATCGATATATTGTTTCCCATCGGTTCAGAGACATTGCGAGCGCATTGGAGAATTGTTGCAATACCGATTTGTGATAAAAGAAAAATCTCATGGTAAAATATAGAATAAATAATCAATTGTGTTATTAAAATAACGGAAGTGATAACGGAGATAAAATATTAAAAAAAAAAACGCGATTTTTTAAAATATATTAACAAAAAGTACAGTATTTTGACGTAGCGTTGAATTTTTCACAAACAATGTTAAATAAAGTCTAATTCGATGTTGTTACAAACTCGAAGACTCGAACAATCGGATTCGTACGTTTCAAACAATTGAATTATTCGAATGACAGTTCGAGAAGCGGAAACATTTGAACGAATCGAGAACAGTTCGAACTGTTTGAGCTCGAAACTCGATTAGATTCGAATAGTTCGAACGCACGCGCTAATATAAAATTTGCGCTAATATAAAATTATGATAAACGTAATGTAAATTATGACAATACCGAGTGTATGATTTTAATTGTTTCAAGAGCGCATTCTCTCTCGAGATTCTCCTGAATCACGCAAGAGACTTGATAATGAATCTCGTGCGAAAAATTCACGCGAATCGCCGCAGTTCTGGTGACTTCCTCTCTCGCGAACCGAGATCTCGGATCGATTTCTAACAATTTCGCGAACAAGTTCTCACTCCGCTACCTGTTTGATTCGACACGAATCATCATTTGGCCAAAAATTTAAACAAGATACGTAACGAAGTTCAGATTAATTTAGTTTAACGCTATTCGTTTTATTCATTTTTTTCGTCCGAGAAAAAAATTTATACACGATCGTGATACTCTTCGAACGTTTCGTTTCTTCACGTTGTGAGCACTGACGTGATGCACTGAGGCGCGCTCCCATTTGACCGGCAAGGCGCTGAAGTTACTACGGAATCGATAAAGAGTTTAGAATGGAAGCCAGTCATAAACAGCTTATTTATCTTCGCAATAATCGGCCACCTCGAGCGCTTGCAACGTGCGACAAATCATATTGGGGTTTCAAGTGAGTGCGAACAAAAATCTTCGGTTGATATCGCGCTCAATCGAGGACTGACATTCGCATCCTCGCGCGAATAAACGTTCGAATAAACGACTGAACGGCATAAGTTAACGTGGTTCCCTCGTACAACTTAACCTATCGCCGCAGCGAACCCACACAGTGCGTCCTCGAATAGCTCTCTGTCGATTTTGCTATCTGTTTGCGCTCATTTCGATGAGATAAGACGATTGTTGCTGCTTTTTGGATTCGTTTCTATCTTTTGTTCATCTCGAATTTTACTCGCAATCGAAAAATCGAAGTAAAACGTAAATAAATTTGTCAAATTCGAACACAAAACTTTGGAGGAAAACTTTCTGCAAACAGTGACAGTTCTGTGATCTTTTTTTTTTTGTAGCTGCAGATGATCAATGTTGGAGGGATGGTATTGCAGATCCATTGCCAACAACAATGCAGATGCAGAAGAGGAAGACGATGAGGACAGTCCGGAGGAGGAAGTGCCTAATTATAAGGACCAGTATCGCAGTCTTAAAAGAAAATTAAAATTCCTTATTTACGTATGTGTAAAATTCGCTTAAATCTGATGTTTATCATTGTATGTCTCTTGTAACGGATTACATTGTGTTCCAGGAAAATGAGTGTTTTCAAGAAGCTTTGCGTTCCACACAAAGGAAATTACTTAAGGCAAATAGGGATAAAAGTTTTTTGTTAGATCGTTTGTTGCAGTATGAGAAAGTGGACGCATCATTCAGTGAAAGTGACGAAACTGAATCATCAGATGAAGAAGTTGTTCGTCATGACAATTCCAAGAAGTAAGTAAAAATACAATAACACATGTAATCTGTTGATTATTACACAAAGACCTATGTCAGTAATATAAGTTAGCAATATCCTGTTCTTCACAGCTTCACAGCTATCTGCAAGATAAACCAATTGATAACAAAGTTTATTTAACAAGATACCACTAAATATTTGTTTTAGAAAAAAGGTTGAGATGAATGTCAACAATCACACCTCTCATCATTCACCAATAGTCACCAAACCACTCAGTACCAGCAAGAAGAAAAAGAGCACACCTAAAGTTACTAAAACAAATAATACACCTATAGTGAGTTATCTTTATGTTACATGTTACATCTAAGAACAGCAAATTTAAATCTAAGAATTCTATAACGGAGAAATATTTTCGATTCCTACCAGGTACAATCTTCAAATAACATGGTTCCAATGTCCTTGATGTCTGATGGGCATATGACACCTGAAGAAGTTGAGAGACACTTGGAATCTCGTCAGACATATCTGGAGCTTGTGCCAGAAAAAGCACCACCCACTGTTCCAACAGAAATGTTCAGTAACGATCCTTCCTTGGACAGGTAAACTTCATTAATTAAACATGTTAATGTTAATGAAATTGTCTCATGTTAATGTGTAATCGATAAAACGCGATCAAACATTTGTTAAAACATTTCTAGTGAATCGAACGAAATTGGAGAACTTGAGACATCGCCCAGTAACATGGGAGAAGATTGTCTCAGTGTGGACATGATGGCAGAGTGACAAACATTCATTTATAGTTTATATTTCATTAATTATGCACATAAACTTACATGTCTCTTTACGAGTATTTCACACAACTAACTCAACTTGTATCCACACAATAATATAATACAAATTTTTTATACACGCAATAATAAGAAGTACTTGTCATTTTTAATCCTCTTTACTTTTTACGGAAAACTTTACTTACGTTCGTGAATTATATAACACATTCATTCTTACGTTCAACTCGCGCAGTCAGCTGTTTACGAAAATTATGTTGTACGGACATTTTTATTTACACTCATGATCACAAGGAGTAATTCAGTAGCTAACACATTAGATAGTATTATCACAAAAGTAGAGATAGAATTGGGAAAGTCATCATGTGCGAGGCTCAAGTTCGAAGACGCATCGATATCGAGTACGAAGAGCACGATATCGCGCGACTCGGAAGATATAAATTGTCGTATTTGTTACGATAATCAAGAATTGCTTGTTATATATCCGTGCAAATGCAAGGTTCGAAAAAAAACAAATGTATATAATATATATCTATATATAACGCAACATTACGAGAATTAAAAGATTTTGAAATCTTTAGAGAGAATCTATAATTTTTCAAAAACTCCCGAGAATCCGCTATAAAAGATGTTAAAAATTAACGTAGTGAATGTGTGTGTTATTGCGTGTCATTGTTTTAGTGGATCACAAATGTTTTCTCAAAATTAATTTTATTTTATATTTACACTCACGGAGAGATCAAATAATATTTAAATATATAATGTAAATTATATAATTATTATTCATATTCACACAATATTAGTATATAATTTATACAATATATAAATTTTTTAATCAATTTGAGTTTCAATGACTGTACATAATAACAATAATAATTTGAAATTAGGGCACAATGGGCGCGATCCATCTCAAATGTTTGGAGCGATGGCTAGAAGAGAGCAATAGAAATAGCTGCGAATTGTGCGGCTTCGAGTTCCGGGTGGAACGAACGCCTCGTTACACAGTCTTCCGATCTATCTCGATCTGGTTGAGCCTGAATCAGGACGAACATCGAATGTACGTTCGCGGTTTGAGAGCCGATCTACTCAGGTGTCTCATAGTTATCCCCGTCACCGTCGTGTGCTCTTACATCTGCGTGGTAGCTACTGATTTTTACGTTCTGACCAATTACGATAACTTTCCGCCCGCGCGATGGACCACCTTCTCTCTGCTATCGATGATGAATCTGCTTATTCTGTCTTCTTTCATTTGGATTTACATAACGCTACAATATCACCAAAAGGCGTGGTTTTATTGGTGGCAGAAGACCAGTAACGTGAGAATCGTCGGTTTACAACCGGGAACTTCCACCTCTAAGTAAACACGATAAGAGTGGAATATCGGAAGTCTGAGATTGTTGGCAAACAAGTGAGGAAGAGTCGATTAAGAAGCTCGTCGTTTGATAGAGATCTTCCCACGACTCAACTGAGACGTATAAATACGTACTTTGCTACCATCCGAAACCTTCTTCACCCAAATCTACAAAGAATATATATTATCTTACGATAATGCACGATTCTCGCCATCTACTTTTAAATGTAACACTTACCGCTTCGGTGCCAATTGCCGAAATATTCGCCGCGAATCTGTTAACATCCTTGCCTTCAACATAAACCGGTTGACCACGGTGGAACCTGTCAATGAAATTCGACCACAACATTTTTTTACTTTCGAGAAAGAGAGAGAAAGAGAGCGAGAGAGAAATCAAATGTTTTTTTCCAAAAATAAATGAAAAGTACCATCGCCGTTCGTACGACAATTTCCCGTCCTCTATTCTAGTTTCTACTAACGGAGGTTCGGATGGCTGTGGTATATGTTGAGATGGCATATTTACTGTATTGTAATGTGGCAAGACCACTGTAAATATACAGATTTTACTGTAATTCATTTCTTGTACTCTTAACTTAAAAAAATATTTATTTAAAAAATATTTGTAAAAAAAATACATAAAATAGTTTATAAAAAAAACTATTTAGACTATTTTTTACATAAATTTGCACCTGGTTTGCGAACAGTCGTCTGCGTTTTTGCACGATTGATCGCTTTTAGGTCATGTTCTATCTCTTTTTCATCCAGGAGATAGTTCAATTGGGCCGGAGGCGGTTTCCGACGTTTTTCTACTTTTTCAGGTACTGGATCATTAGGACGCCTACGTAACTTTCTTGTCATTACTGGTTTTACCTGATTAATAAACGACACATACACATATTGATTAATTTAATTATATATATTCCAGATATTATTGCAAGATATTCGCAACTGTCAAAAAAAAAAAAAAAAAATTACCTCCATTGAGTCACCAGTAAGTTCCATCGTATGGCGGTCAGATTCAATCATTTTTCTCTTTTCTTCCATATCAGTGAGCAGATTTTCTTTAAGGTCAATTTTCTTCTCTTCAAATTCCTTTGCTGCCGCCTTCTTTTCTAATATGTAATCGCGTTCGACCCATTCCATTAAGTAGTCTCGATGAATTGCATTCAGTCTTAATCTATTGAAAACATCTTCAAGTTAATACATAAAGCTTGCAGCAAGTGGCGGATTTTGCATTCAAGAAGACCAAAGACAAAATTTGAGGCCATACCCAAAGCTATCCATCTCACTTTGCTTCCTAATTTGTATTACTTGCAACAGTGTTTTATAAACAATCATTACATCATAAATTAATTAATTAATTAATTACCGCTCCTTATACTGTGATTCTACTCGCTTTAATTTGCGATTGTACTCCGGGTGTGTGCCATCCTTTAACTGCTGTAGCTGTTTTTTCAAACTTGCTAACTTGTCCTGATACATTCTGATATGTAAAACAAGTTTCAGTGTCAAAATATATAAGTCAGCATTAATGTCGATATACAAATAATATTTTATAAACTTACTGTTCTTTAATTTCCGTATACTCTTCCGATTTTCCCATGTCTGTCTCGCTAGCCTCCTCGGTATCTACAAAATATTCACAAAATATTACATATCGGTAACGCTTTTTTTTATAAATATTCTGAGATATCACCGCTTGCATAGAATTCACACAGTGAAACTTATAATTGTCTAAAAACCAAACAATCTTTGCAGATTTACATTACTGTGTTTTATTATCAATTATACCTTCATCGCTTTCATCTTGTTCCTCGGCATCTCTGTCTTCGTCTATATATTCCTCATTGTCGTCATCAAGGTCATAATCATCCTGCCGATCGTACATCGCTGAAAACGGCGAGTCTTGATATGACATGTTTATACTAACTAAAGATTCACATTTGCCACTTTTCTTGTATTCACACAGAAAAAAGTTGAGTACCAAAACCACAGTTAAAACCTTGTTCGGTAAGTTACGGACAATGTTTAAAAAAATTTACGATTTTCACTCACAGAGTGCGATCATATGTTCGGTTATTTGTGATTGGTTGACTCTTTCGTGAGTCTTCATTCAAAATTTTTGGTCTACATGTGATCTCACCCAAAGAAAGAAAGAGGGAGAGAGAGAAAATGAGACATTACGCTGTCACTTACGCTAAATTACGAGGACCTCTCTCTTGCACAACAATATACCAATCTTATTTTAAGATATATCACACGATGAAATATACAATTTAATTTGCCACACAAGAAGATTCGAGACATCTCCGTTTATTAAAAAAAAAAAAAAACCAGCTTTGCAACGACGCGATTAGATTAATCTGTTTTATTATTCCGTTTTTCTCTCTATTTTTATCGTGGCTAGCCGCAGAAACAAGACTGAGAGCGGCCAGATCGACAACAGAAAGTGTAATCACATACCCGCCAAGTAAACTAGCGCATGTCCACGGGTGGTGCACAATGGAACTACGCAGCCATGTCCACGAGCGACACGTCGGTGCGCTATGTCCACAGCGAGCGGTTCTATTCTGTGCTATGCGCACGAGTCCAAATGGTCACCTTCTTCAGGCGTGTGAAAGTATTTTCGCGAGCGTGGATTTGATTTCTTTTGGAATTTAAAATGACCGGTGATGAAAAGATGAGAAAGGAGAACAGAAAAGAATAACAAAAAAAACATTGTAACTTTCCACAACATAAATGTGATATACAAGAAAAGATGTGATAGTCAAGAAAAGAATAATTTTCTTCGCCGATTCACAGTTACGTAGTAAGGGTTGAGCGGTTTCACGAGCGTCAAAACAACAAAAACACTCACTGGTTGGAAAAACACCTTAGTCGTTGAACATAACACGTTTATTTTTCACACACATTCTTTCGTATTAAAATTTAACATTTATTACATTTCTTAGTTCTCTTTAAAGGAAGAGAACATTTATTACATTTTTTAATTCTCTTTAAAAGAAGAGAACATTTATTACATTTCTTAATTCTCTTTAAAGGAAGAGAATTAAGACATGTAATAAATGTTCTAATTCATAAATGTCTTAATTCTCTTTAAAGGAAGAGAACATTTATTACATTTCTTATTCTCTTCCTTTAAAGACAATTAAGACATTTATGAATTAGAACATTTATTACATGTCTTAATTCTCTTTAAAAGAAGAGAATTAAGACATGTAATAAATGTGTGTGTGTTCTCTTCCTTTAAAGAGAATTAAGAAATGTAATAAATGTTCTCTTCCTTTAAAGAGAATAAAGACATTTATGAATTAGAACATTTATTACATGTCTTAATTCTCTTCCTTTAAAGAGAATTAAGACATGTAACAAATGTGTTCTCTTTCTTTAAAGAGAATTAAGAAATGTAATAAATGTTAAATTTTAATACCAAAGAATGTGTGAAAAATAAATGTGTTATGTTCAGCGACTGAGGTGTTTTTCCAAACAGCGAGTGTTTTTGCGCATAGTGAGGCATGCGTGCGCTCTATTCACAGCGCAGCGCGTAGCCTCAGATCTCGTCGATCTCTCAAGTGTAACAGACGTGTTGTCGGGTTGTGCGCGATTCAAAATTCTTCTTTTTTATTATAACAAGTTCTTACGCAATTTCGTACATAAGTGAATTTCTTCGTAAATTAATTATATAATTCTGTTGTTGTAAATCTACCGCGTATATCGCGATTAAATATTTCGCGTATATAAATTATTAGTCTTCCGCTTCGTCATTTTTTTATTTTGTAAAATAATTATTCTAATACATAAAGAGATATATCGATTCACGTAACGACATTTATTTTTTTGTTACATATTGTATATAACATATATTGAAAATTATATTTTTTATTTCAATCTTCAGAAGAATTTTACAATACGGTAATTAATATTTTACACATTAGAGTTTNGTTAATACTCTTTATTAAGAGAACCGCGGTAAATCTATAACTTCTTATTCATTTTCGAATTCTTCTCTCTGACAGTTTGGGTGCAAGCGGTACCATTGTCATCTTAACTGTCATTGAGAAGAGTTCGGAGGTGAATAAACTTTATAGATTTTTTTATATTCACAGTAGTTCTTGTGTTGACTCGATTTTAAAGAGTGGTTGTGTTGTAAAATTCTCTGTAAAATTCAAATAAAAAATATATTTCCACATATCATGCTATAACATATAACAAAAAAATGTGAGTTACGCGCGTGTAATCGTAATACATCGTTTTATATATTTAAAATACTTTATTTTACAAAAAAACAAATCTCGAAACAGCAAGGTAATAGTTTGATATACGTGAAATTTTTCATCGTGAATTAACGTCTAATATTATCAAAAGCAACTTTTAAAGAAAATATGTAAGAAATTCACTTAATCGCGCGTGTGTGCGCGTGTGAAAGTGATCAAGTGCCGCAAAGAAGATATAATCTGGACAATATTCCTTTTGGTGACACTGATAGCGGTGTTCCTGATGGCGGTGTTCCTGATGGCGGTGTTCTTGATGGCGGTGTTCCTGATGGCGGTGTTTGCAGTACCGGAGGAGCCGGTTCGGGCAATAAAATGCTGGCACGAAGGTATATTTCTGTTTTTAATATCATATATTTTACATATAAAAGTATTAAAGTACACCCAATTTTCTTCGAAGTTCTTAATCTAATGATAGACTTCTATTTTGTTACAGAGTGGTGTCGTCGCAGTAAGTGGCCAGCGCACGTGAGTAAACTTTTAGGGTTGGTGTTGGGTTTTTTTAAAATCAGTGCGATACATAGTCTTTACTTGTTTATCTTGAAGCGTCGAGAAAAAATAGTTTTTTCAAAGATAAAAATATAGTTTTCGGGCTGTGATTATAGATTTTAATCAAATTTACTCACAGAAATTAGAGTATAATAAAGATTCAGAATAATAAAAATACTTTTGAGATATTTTATATTGTTATCAAAGAAATATATTGATTACTCTTTTTAAACCAATTTAGATTGCTTCATGTAATGATTATTTTCTTATGTAATTATTTTGTACCGGTTTTTTCTCGACGACTTCTCATTTTCAACAAATTGCGAACGTTTAGTTCGCCTTGCGTCGAAATCGACGCCCTGGACCTTGCAAATTGCGAGGAAATCACGCGATCGCGGTCGTGTGCGCGGTTTTAGATTTCGCGAATTGTTTTATTTAAAACTTTTGCCACTTCTTCACTTTTTGTTGTATATTAATATTGATTAAAGAGTATATTTTGCGCGTAAATTTTACGATAAAGTTAGAAATTTTAGAGATATTCTATCGGGAAAGAATATAANTAGCAGATATTTCTTTAATTTTAACGACTTAGCGTCTTACCTACTACCGCGATTTCTAGTTTTGATTTTTTGAATATACGCGATTAAGTATCATTACTAGAATCTATTCCGTAAAAGAAAATAAAGTACGAAAAGTTTTACGTAAAAATTTTAATTACGCGTTTTACTTAACTTTAATTTAGATTTCGAATGTGTAGATATCGAATTTTTAAATATGTTTTTGACTTTGCTTTTTCGATCCGTTCCGTTTTCGATAAACAATTTTCGCAAAGAAATTACGAACTGATGCTTCGTTGAAGTAACGGAGCAAGATACTTCGCTGTGTTAAGCGGAGTGACTCTCGCAAAAATTACGAGACTGGTTTTGCGTAAAAAGTACGCGAATATTACTATTATAATTAAAACCGCAAATTCCGTTCCGTATTAACAAAATCAGTATTAAAACTTCGATTTGTGATAGTGAAGTTTACTTAAAATCCGCGCGACATATTTTAGAATATTTTAAAACTTATAAACTTAACTTTCGTTCTTTTTAATGTTAAAACTTATAAACTTAACTTTCGTTCTTTTTAATCACTTACTTTGATTACTTATTACTTATTTTTCATTCTGCATTTTTTTACACACTACCTATCCTATACCTTTTCTATATAAAAAAAAAGAAAAAAAAAAAAAAAAACAAGAGAATTATTGAAAAGTAAGATTCCTTAATTTATTCTTCTTTCCTTTTTATTTATCCTCCTTCACCCTCTCTATATACACTCTTTAATATTTAAACATAAAGTATAGAGTCGCGAATAAAATTCTATTCTTTTCATTTAACTTTTTACTTCATTTTTATTATTCTTATATTCTGTCTTTTAAAATAACGTTATTTTTCGCGTTTTTTCGAGAGTTTGTTTTAATTTTTATCTATCACCTTTTTTAAAAGTAAAATTAGAATCATTCGCGATTTCGCGGTTTTCGCGTCATATTACAGCAACGGGGCCACCGGTAAGTTTAAACGTGGTCTCGCGTCGTGGGACTACGGTCATCTCGTCGTGGGCGCGCACCCTTCGCATCGTGGGACAGTAAAGGTAGGTTCCTGATTGCTACGTGGGACTGGAGTTGAAGATACAACGATGGACGACGAGGGACTACGCGCAACGGTACGTTATTATAAATAATTTATTCTTCTCACATAAAAAGCACCTCACTGTTAGAAAGGTTGCTTTTTTATATATTATCTTTAAATTTATATTATAATTTACACACAAGCAAATTACAGTTTTTAGAGTTATTTGCCTAATAAATTTTAAATATAGTAAGTTAATTAAATTATTTTAAAACGGCTTCGTTTATAATAGTCTGGAAAAAAAATCCTTTATATATGGACATATCCCATATCTGATTATGTTTAATTAGATGCAATCATATATGAGATCTTCTCAATCTCATACAAAATTATTATGTATACCTAGATATAGAATTTGAGCATATATAAAGGAAAAATAATAATTTAAAATTAAATATTCGATTATGTTTCGTATCTCTATCATGAAAATTTTTGAGAAGAATAAATTATTCTGCATGAGTAGTAATCGCACTGATTTTTCACTATATCGTCACTCTCTACCTACAATCTTGTAACTCCAAAACGCAAATTTTAGAGGAGAGCAGTTTAAAAGTTTAAAGTTTCGTATAATTTTCCTAGTTAAGGGATCTTTCGGTTTCAAATTTTTACTTATAAATATTTTTTTTAATATTTGGTGACCATAAAGAACATGAACTTTTTAAGGGTCACTATGCAATAAACTGAAAATTTGGTATGTGACACTTATGTAATTATACGTAGGGAGTGACGATTTTTTTTTGATGAAATTTCCATATATTTGTATATTGTGTAATTTAAAACAATATTCTTCTATATATGTGCTTTTTTTATTTTTTTATATTTTATATATTTATATATTCATCTGTATTTTCTACATCTACTTTCATATTTCTATATCAATTTCTCTTAAAGAACCGATATAGAATTTTTTTTGGAGACTTATGTTCTTTTATACTTCTATATCAATTTCTCTTAAAGTACTGATATAGAATCGTTTTTTAAAGACATGTTCTTTATATCTATTTTCTACATTTTTATTCTTTTCTATTTTATCTTTGCAAAAATATATACTTGAAATATATGTATTGAAATATATATTTTTTCTATCTACTATAGAAAAGTAATATTTCTATCTCTTCTAAGTATACACGATGAGCTTTGAAGGATAGATATATTCTTTTTTCAATCATAAAATTTAAAACAAAACTCGGACGTGAAACTAAAATATATTTAAAATAATACTTTTTAATTTTTTAAAACAATTGCCCCTCGCGTAAAATATTTGATAGGTTTTAAAAGTTTTCAAAGTAAATAGGTAGGTACGTAGGTATCTGTGTAGGTAGGGATGCGTATCTACAAGCTCTTGTAGAAAATATGTTAGGCCGGGTAGGTAGGTAAGAAATATGTAAGACCAGATAGGCAGAAAATATGGTAGACCGGATAAGTAGGAAGAAATAAAAATGTAAAATTAGGATCAAGGTTGTCATGCAGCCTTAATCCTAATTAATAATAAGGCTAGTAACGTTTAAGATATGTCAGATGTTTAAGATAGGTAGGTAGGATTATATATACTATGTATTATATATTGCATAATATTGTATTATATTGTATGTACTATGTATCATATTGCGTAATATTGTATTATATTGTATGTTGTATGTAACATATGTATACTATTGTATTTTATTGTATAAATGTATAAAAAATTGTAAAATGAAACTTGACAATTGAAAACACATTGATAAAGAATTGTAATAAAGCAGAGTAATAGGTATTCTTCTTGGAATTGCAACTTTTCAGACATATATATTTGTGTACCGGTAAAACAGCTTTGTGTAATATATATGTTTTTTTATATGTAGTGTTTTAAATAAAATAAAGAAAATAAAATAAAATTTATAAAGCAACGAGCAGCAAATGATGATGTAAAAGGAGACGATATCTGACTACACTCCATGAATTCTGATGCTGCTCGCTAAAATAATATTCTTTTCTTGACTATCACATCTTTTCTTGTATGTCACATTTATGTCGTGTGGAAAGTTGCAATGTTTTTTCTTATTCTTTTCTATTCTCCTTTCTTATCTTCTCATCACGGTCATTTTAAATTCCAAAAGAAATCAAATTCGCAATCGCGGAAATACTCACACGCCTGAAAAAGGTGATTATTTGGACTCGTGTACATAGCACGGAATAGAAAAATTTTACCGTGGAACAATGCAAATCAGAGTTTTAACTATTAGACAGATTATCTGACAGTTTATCTGAAAATGGAACAAGTGGCCCTTAGGCTTCTCTCTAAAACGAAGCACGCATTGCGAGGATAAAAAAGTAGTGATACTCATCAATTTGTAGTCACACAGTCGAAGGCGCGCGCGTCGATTCGATACTTCGATTCTCGAAATGAAGCTCGCGCTTCGATACATCGAGATCAATGGGTAAGGGATAGTCGTGGCGGGCGCGCGACGCGAAGCGGAATTTCGCTCAAATTCGTTCCGTATTTCTCGCGATTGTTATTGTATTCCGCACGCAATAATCGGTGGTGCGTGTGTCTCAAAATGTCGAGCGTTCGCTGTGATAGATAATTGTGATAGATAATGTCGCGCACTTATCGATCGGCGAATATATACAACGAAATTGTTTTTTGCGGCGCTCTTGCGAGAAACACGCGCGAGAAACAAAATGGCTAACGCGAAAGGCACTCTTTTCGAACTAGTTCGCATCTTTCGCGATTGTTGTCGTCTCGCGCGCGCGTAAAATACACGAGTGTTTGTTTATGACGTAAACTATCGGAATCGTTTTCGCTCATATGCAATCAGCATCGCATACTCGCTAAGTAACGACGATTGTATCGCCGTCGGTCGCGCTTCCGCGAAGTGCGCGCGAGAAATTATATTTCGTGTGATGTTGCAACTACACCGATTATTTGTTGTGAAAACAACTTTTAGTGAGCAGCGTCGAAACTCTCCCGACGAGCGCAGTATATCACCATTGAGCGAGATAGCGTATCAGGTAATCTTTTTTTAATTTTCTTATGCTTTAATACAATATATATCTAAACCAACGCATTCCAATCCGATGGATAAAACGACTACTATCTATGATTTAGTTTCGTTCTGTTTTGTGCTGCGATTTTGTGCCTAATTTTATCATAATTAATATTAGCTGCTACGTTTCTTGAAAAAATAAAAAAAAAAAACGACCGTATTGTAACAACGCGTGCCGGGTGAAAAAACATTGCTGGCAGCTTCTTCAGACTCTTGTTTCAAAATTTAACAGTCTTATATGACACTAAATATATTTCACGATGAAATATCGTTTACTTTGTCACAAAATATGATCCAAAAGAGTTTTTAAAAAAAATCTCCACACACATTTTATATTCTCTAGAAACTTATATAGTAGTCGCTGTTGATTTTGGTTTTATTCATGCAAAAAAGAGAGGTGCAATAAATTAAGGAATGACACAGAGTGCAATTTGAGTAAATCGTTTTACTAATGTTTATTAATAAACATTTCTCATATAGATTATTAGAATTTATTATAATTTCATATGTGTGCAACTGCCGCAGTTAGTTTTTTTTTTTTTTTTTTTTTTTTAATCGTTATTTACACTATTCAGTATAAAATGCGAGTTCGAGATTAAATCATCGTCATCATTGTCATTACCATTGTCACACCACTATATTGTTTTGTTAATATTGTTTTTTTTCCGGTTATCCATTTTTTCTCAGACACTATCTGTCATCGATTAAGTAATTATCAATGCTTGTACTCAGGAAAATGCGTGGGGGGCAGTAGGGCAGTATTTTCGTTATCACTAGTGTTGTTGGTAATTATTTCTTTTGGGGAACCATTATTCATTATGTTACATTCTAGACTAAAATCATCGTCTAGTGGGCATTTGTTAATATTAGGCAAATGATTATTAACATCGATTCCACGAACGTCGCTTAGCGTTTTTTGTTGTTGATGGGATTGAGCAGATTCTACCTCGGCATTGTTACTAGTGTCGAGGTTGTTTTCAATTTGTGGGGGAGGTGGATAATAGCCGCGTTGCTTTATTGGCAGTTGTTCCACCGGCTGTTGCTGTTGCTGTTGCTGCTGTTGCTGCTGCTGCTGCTGTTGCTGCTGCGTAGTCTGTTGCGGCATCGGCAACTGCATCGCTGATGGCGGGGGTGGCTGTTGCGGCGGCCGGTGCTGTACCCCTCCTCCTCCATCCTCATTAGTCCACCGGGCTACTTGTTGTTGAGCTTGAATAAATGCATCACTAGAAAATAATAAGATTACACAAGCCCATTGGATCTAGTCCACCGCCACTAATGCTGCATTCAAACGCGGGACGTAACAACAGTAAGTGAAGCCAAACCAGTCGACCCGAAGCGGAAGCTGTCGGTGAGTACGTGATTACTCTTCAGGCTGAGGTTTGGATCATTACGACTGGCCTAGTGCGATATGATGAAAAATTTGTATCATTATATAGAAGAAAATGGATAATTAATCAACAAATAGCAAGGTGACGTTTTCTTACGACGTCGTTTTTATGTCATTGTGACGTCATCTTCATCAAGTGACATCATCTTGTTACTCGGGTGACATATTATTTTTTATTCTTTTTTATTTTGTGTTCTTCATCTGTGACGTGAAAATTAAACAATTTGTTGTTTCTCTTGACGAAACGAAAGTTTTGTCATAATAATTTATTTAGTTATAAATTTTTAATTTATATATTTTATTTTTATAATAACTTATATATTTTACTTTAAAATCTCGACAACATTTAATTAAATAAGCTTGCGACATCAACCAGCTGCTACTCTAATAATTGTCCAAAAATTTGCAAATTTTTAAATTACAAAAAACAAGAGAAAGATGTTTTATTGACTAAAAAATCTATATATCGCGCTGTAAAACTTAATTTTGTGATACACTTAATTACTTAAAAAAATTACTTTCTTCTCTGATGAGCTCTAATGGAGAATTCGTACATTCTCTGTACAAAAAGCATCACGTACGCACGGTGTTTGAAATACCAATTAAACTATTTAAAGCGCGTGCGAAGCCTTACGATCACTACAGTTCTTATTTAATTCACAGCATTCCTTTACATATGCATTTTCTGACAAACATACCAACAAAGAAGAACTTCAGATAAGGATAAGTGCTCACATCGATTACAAATGTAAATTGCCTCGTCGAGAAATAAATTGAAAAAATACTTTTTTTTTTACAATCGTAAAAAATTCGTTCACATGTTGGTTTCACAAATATGGCAATGCAAAATGTCAGAAGCGGTGCATGCGCAACAATCGAATATGATTGTGGTGACTGCTATATAAGTGTGTTCCAAATCTGCGCCAAATATATTTTCAATTATCAACCAATTGAAGATTAAAGTTTATATAAATGTCAAATACACAAAATTATTAATAGAAATTTACAAAACTCACAAAAAAAATACTGTATCTGTGTAAGAATATTCTCTGTAGATTTGGAACACATCTACAGACTGAGTATTGGAACTCGTGTGTGTTGTTATTGTTTTGTTGTTTAGAGCAATATTCCACGATGCAGAAGCAAAAACGAAAAGAACGCATGCAGACTTTCGTGTGCATTTTGCTTTTCTCTTCGAAAAATTTTGTCAAATACAACATATTCTTGATCTTGATTGAAGTGCTCGTTGATTCGATATGCGAGATACAATTGCAAACGTTGCAACTGCGTTATTGCAGCATATTGAAATATCGTATGCCGAGTCTATTTATACTCTCTCCACGTAGATTTCAAAAAACTCTCTTCAGTCAGCAATAACGATATACTCGTAATTAAAACTCAAACTGTTTTTATAACCCGAGAGTTCGCGATCATTACCAATTTTTTAACGATTGCAAAACAGAATTCGTTGTATATAAATTCCTATCTCTCACGAAAATTGTTATTTGAATCATCGTGCGCCATCATCGTCGGAGTAGTTTTTTGATTTTGACACGACGCGTTGTTTTTTTTTTTTTTTTCACGTTGTTTCCAATTTATATTCCGACGCGTAATTGCTCTGTTGATATTATACATGAAGTTCGTCTTTTTTTTTCTTTTTTCTTTGCAAACAACAACACATGCACCATCCTTATCTGAGATAATACGCGATTTATCGTGTGAAGGATCTGGGGGAAGGTGTGATGAGAGCCGTGAGCCGATAAATCGATATATCAGTGAGTTGTAGATATAATATATATCGCTACTAGTGAAGCCGTAAGGTTTCTCGTGATGCAAGATTCTCGCAGTACCTTTCACAATCGGGTGTTTCACCCCTAGTATTTGAGCCTCTGTCAGGATCGGCAGTTTCATAGATACCCTCGTCCTCGGGATGCATTTGATGGGAGTGTTGATGGGTGTGTTGATGATTGCCGTAAGGACTTCGGGACGTCGGCTGACGATATCTACCGTAGACGAATCTACTAGCGTCCTCGTCGCGGCCGCGACTACATCTTCTGCTTCTATGTAGGAAATCCAATCAATTTCCTGCGTAAGTTTACGAGCTACGCGATTTTTTCTCTTGTTTTTTTTTTATTTTGTTTTTATCTCTCACACTTCTTCGCTTTCTTTTCGTGATACGCTTGGGAATTGAAAAATTATACAGATAGGTAGTATAATATGAATTGGATGTTTATATGTGTACGGAAAAATACTCGGAGCGCGCGGTTATCTCTTTCGTAGAGATTTTTATAAGTTTTGATATAATTAAAATTAATATCAGTTAATTGTGTTTTATGTGTTTTCGGTGTGCGACATGTACCTGCTATCAGTAAGTTGATTGTGCTTTATGGCTAACGCATTTGTTTAATCTCCATTTGCCATTTGTGTTTTGCTTATCTAATAACCTTCAATTGGATCGCAATTACGCTCAAATTCGATTACGTTTGTTATTTAGTATAAACAGACTCCGCATTTTACCTCGAAGTAAATTTTCTTCTATACCGCGCGTAAATACTTCAATTATTGTTAATTAATTACCGAGTGTGTGTCCCTTTTTCCGTTATCCTCGAAACATCGAATAATAGTGTCTGATAAATATATATATATATATATGTAAATATAAATGCGGTCGAGTCTTGACAGCCTTTTGATGCACAAAATAGAAAGCAGAATAAGATAACAAAGTTTTTAACCCTCTCATTCTATCGTACATAAATTGTTACGTCAAGACATGACGAAATAATTTTGTGTGACTATAAAAATATTATAAAATTAAATATTATAAAAATTAAATGCCTACAAAAGTAGTTGCAGATATCTTTTATTAATTAGAAAAGTAAACAGTTGAAATATATTTACAACGTATATAAAATAATTTTAATTGTTATTTCTGCAATGGTTCCGTTTGCCGACAATCTTATTAGCGAGAGGAACACTCGTTTATGAGAGGGTTAAGATGAGAAATTGGCGAAAGAGAAGATAGAATAAGCGATTCACAGTGAGAGTTATGGCAGCGTGTGAAATACATGTCTGCTGACGATAATCGTAAATTAATACAATATGTAAAAAGCTGAGATGTATTTAGCCGATCGTCTCAATAATACGTTGAATTAAAAAACGAACGTTCTAAGTTTACGAATCATGACTAAAAAAGAGGCTAGAGATATATTTCTTGTGTAGATTGTAATGAACGTCTTTAGTTTAAAATGAACAGTATATGTATATATAATATATATATTTCGAGATATTGTGCAATTAAGGCTCATTGTCTGAATTGAGTTTTAAAAGCTTGTCTGGACAAAAAGCGCACGTAATTCTGTTTCGCAAGTTCTTACCCTTGAGATGACTCGCTACAGACAGAAGAATCGATTCTGTAGTGACGATCGGGATCACCGTCGGTCATCCTTATCTCTTCGGATCCGCTCGGACTCATTTGACCGGTTATGAAGGGTCTGACAACAGAGACACAATTCGTGTCTTAGTGTTATTCTTAGTTTCGTCGTGTGAAGAAGAAAACAAATTTATATACCAGATACTTCTCGTTCGCGCGCAATTTTATAATCAAAGAACATTAAAAGAATATTTCTAGATCATCAAATGGCAATTCCGATACATATGTGAGGACGCTTTTACCTCGACGCTGCCCGATGTTCCAGTTGGCGAATGATATCCTCGAGATTGCGTATGCGAATGGTGCCGCATGGCGGTTGCAATTCCACTTCGTCCTCGTCGTCTTCCTGTCCGTTATGCATGCCGTTGTCCTGGCCGTCGATGTCCTTCCGATACATGTCGTAGCCGCAGTCGGCCAGTGATTTGCGTATCGGGTCGTCGTCCAGGCCGGACGGGGTGCCAGCGTGATCCCGACGACTCGCCGCGTTCTTCAGCACCTCGATTATGTCGTCGCGATAGCCGTCGAGTTGATTCAAGGTCCTTTCCACCTGTTCGATCGCGCCTCCGCCCAGTCCTGACGAATATCAAACTCAAGTTACCGGTGGAAGAAAAAACTCTCGATGATGAAGCAGTTCACGTTAACTCTCTCGTGCGCAAAATCCGCTTTTTTTTAAATATCTTTCTCTTTAAATATCTTCTCGTTTTATCGACTATTAGTGATATTTGTGTTAATATTTGTTATTAATTTACGATTTTTTGTTAATCTCTGAGTTATAAAAGTAAAGCGTAAAAGAGAAAGAAATTTAAACCTTATTGAAATAAATAAATAAATATATGTGTGCACGAGAGAGTTGAAATAATCATAAAAGTCTTTTTTACAGAAGAGAGAGATCCTTGTTTTAGAATATTTCTGTATTAACCCTTTATATATTGTGTATATTTTAAGATAAAACAAAAACTGGTTTTTTAGTTGCGAGTGTTTACGTAAACGCAAAAAGATAATAGATTGTTTGGTTTCGCTTCGATTTCAATTTAGTTCATTTGATGATGAGAAGGAAAATGAACAAGAGAGTCATTAACATATAAAGAGTTAACGTTTTGTGAAGAGTCGGTGTAAGAAGTTCGCACTTGCAAATCGAAAGATAACCGAACGGTATAAAGGGTGTGTGTATGTGTATGCGTAAGAATACGTGTGTTAATTTGACGATCGCAGAAACAACGCGCTCGTTGATGAACACGTAGCTCATGATACAAATTCGGCCAACTGCTTGGATCTTTCGACTCGCCGAAGTTCGAGCTCCCTCCAGCTACTTTTCACGGTTCTCTTATTATTGTGACGTGATCACGCCCACTGTTCTGTTGTACGACTATCAGGCATTACAATACCGTAACCACCGTGTTTCTTTAAAATTCCCTTCTCAGGCAACTTTGTGAGATTGTTTGATGGGAGATCAATGAAAGAGACAACCTCCTCTGCTCCCGTACCTCCATCTTCTTCCTCTACGCCGTGCCTCTTCGGTTGCGGCTTGTGCTCCCTGAAAGACGGACCGGATCTACATCGGATATTCATTCGTTAATTTCAGCGGTTCGGTGTTATCTTTCGCAAAAGAAAATGTGCAACAACTCAAATCGAGTCAAAAATCACTTTGTAAAAGTGTTCAGGCGTTCGATACAAAAAACAAAACAAATCGTGAGACAAACCTCGAACTTTGATTTTCTGACGCTTTACGTAAAACGATTACACATCACTTTACATTACACTGTAGAACTTCGTACTTTATTATAAATTTTTTTTTTATAGTAATACTTATAATATCAAGTATACAAAAAAAAAAAAAAGATCTCAATCGACTGCGCAATAACTGTCCTGTTATTCTTTCGTATTATAAATCGCAGATATAAGTAATAATAATAATAATAATAATATTGACCATATGTGACGTTTATAAATGCTTTCAATGAAACGTTGTGCATAAATAGAAATTATAATGATGCAATATATATGTATTTAATATTTACACACGGTATCCCAGATATTACTAACGTTTTTTGTTTTTTTTTATAAAAATGAAAGAAAAGAATAACAATGTTGCAACGTTAATGAATCACCCTACATGTGCACCCGTTATCATGCAATAATTAAAGATGTGGTGGGACAAAAATAAACATTGCGATGCAGCAATTAAATACCATAGCAGTGACTTTCATGCGAATACATCGGGTTCGACCGCAGCGTGTCTATGTGTGTGAGTCGCAAAGTCAGCTGAATATCGAGATCGTGGTCTGTGCGAAGAATGGTTACATTCAGAAAACGCAACAGTTGCGTAACGGTTGAGAGATTATCACTTGTGACGAGACTATTTCTCAAAACCTATCGCGGTTCCAGAAGTACGAGCCAATCACAAGTGACAATCTCTCTCAACCGTTGTTTTTTTTCTGTATGTAACCGATGTTTTTGTGCAAAATATGAGAGAATGATGAGAGCAAAAAAGAGAGAGAGAGAGAGAGAGAGAGGGAGAGAGAGAGAGAGAGAAACAAAAGACAGATTCGGACCGGGATATTAATAATCATAGTCAAATACGAGAGGAGAATTGATCCCCTAGAGACAGCTAAAAGCTGCAATTTAACCACAATAGTAGCCGCAAATGCGAAAACGCTATTTCCGGCAACATGGAAACACATATGAAGATGAATTGCTGGTCGATCGAAATCGACCGAATCGAAGCGATCATTGCGGCAATGCTACGGTCCAAATAAGGAATAATATCTATTAATTTGTCCCGAACACGTTTTCTTATCAATTTTTAAATATCCAATTATTGTATCCAATTAAAAAAGTAGGATATTTGGTTTTTACAGAAAATAACGTTTTTATTGATTCTTTTCAAAGAAATTTCGTTCTCATTGTGTTATCTTTGAGAATGACACGCGCAAAATATATTATTATTCCTCGATCGGACTGTGATGTGAATAATGAAGAATGACGACGAGACACATGAGACTTACTTGACTCTTGGCCCGTCGGCGGTGGCGACGTTATTCGGGGGTCGAAACAGCACGCGCTGGGTCTCGCCGCGGCTAGAAATATACTAATATAGGCATGCCGCGGCTATTTTCTTATTAACCCTCAACTACTGTGTGCATTGTTCGATTCATCAACGTTTGAGATTAACACGAGGACACAAATGTACTTTCAAAGATTTTGTTTTTGGTATTAAGTTTTTAAATAACCGTTATTATTCGTCATAACGTTAACGAGCTCGAAATAATAAAGAATTTAATATAATAAAAATTTGTAGAGTTTTATTTTATTCAAATAAAAATAAAAAATTTGAGGTACATTAAAAATTAAAGCTCTCACGTGTGTGTGAAATATTCGATTATTTAATAAATGTATTTTTGAAGAGACTGAGAATTGCGCAGATCTAATAAAATTCAGAATAAAAATTGCGATAAATGTTCATTATTTGTATTAAGTTTGGATAATACAATTGGATAATACCGCTACACTTTTCTTTTATAATAATTGAGGGTTAATAAAATTCTTCAACGCTCTATATCTTCCTTACTTGAGGAATAAAAGAAATCAATCGAGCAGGACTCGTAAGTTTCTGTCGTTCGCGCGCTTTAATTTGATGGCTTTGTCAGATTACAATGATATCGATACCTTATGAAAATATTATGACATATATTCCGTCAAGAGCTTCGACTGTGAATTTCAGAATAAAAATTTGTGGAAGAGAAGATTTATCCCGTGATATTATAATGAAAATTTTATTATCAGTCTGCAATTATGTAGAACAGTATTTTTTATTTTCGCAAAAAAAGAGAAAATCTCTCTTGTCTCGTTAAAATGTAATTTTACATTTCTACACACAATATATAGAGACATCGTTTTCTTCTAAAAAAAAATTTGACATAATATGTATGTATATATTCGGAAATCTAATGCGATATATATATATATATATATATATATATGTACATAAACAATATCGGGAAGATTGTTATGCAAATTAAGCGCATACTAAAGCTTATGTGAAGTTAAGGAGTTGAGATTCACCTGAAATAAAAAGGCATCGAACTCCAAAGTCACATTGATCCAAGCGCACTTTAGCTCATTTCTTACAAAGCTGTACTCACGCATTCTCGTATATTTTAATGATATATAAGCGCAACTCGTCGCACAGAACGGACCAAAAGTAATTATTGTTTTCTTTTTCTGACAAAATTAATTTCCACAATAAATTGGGCAGTAAATATCGAGATTTGGCCTTTTCTGTGTGTATAGCTGTGATCTAAAGTATATATATACTACAAACTCTTCGTTCGTCGTTATGTAATAACGATATTTCTTGAAAACGATCGAACGACAGAAGCATTACGAACTGCAATCACTTCTACATCATACATTGATAAAAAAACGCACTTCGTTAATTGTGATACGAATTCTGGGACACATCGCGACGGTTTAACATGCACATGAATTGATCAGAATTTATCGATGAAATTATGAGAAACAAAATGAAAAATGAGATAAGATGTGAAATGTAATGAGAGGCTGTTATTAGATGTTTTCTAATATGGTAATTTTCAATTGATCGTTGTGAAAGAAAATTATTAAGAGAGAGAAAGAACTGAATCTCTTCTCCCGTAAATAAGAAAATTGACATTGTCATTAGTTTTTTTTTTGCATCAATACTTACGTCAAAACTATAAAAAATGTTATTTTTGTTGAAGATTTGTTTAAAATTTTGTATCGACAATTACATACACGTATCAAAGTCAGTGATAAGCGATAATATGTATTTTATTATTAACACCAGAACACTTCAATTTTTAATAAAAGTTTCAAAACAATTAAATTAGTAATACGAAAAAAATAAATAATTAAACACAGTTTTGTTACTGTAAATATTTTTATAGATTTCTCTTAAGAAAATAGTATAGTTTATTTACTTTAAGTAACTCGAATTATATACAAAATTTATTTATAATATTTATAATATTTGTATTACTAATAATTATTATAATTTTAAATAAAATTGCATACGTCCCGTATGTATGTATATATATATATAAAAACTCGTAAGAAGGATTATCAGTGCCATGTTTGTAGCAACAGGCACATTTAACAATAAAAATAAATCAAAACCATTGAAATATAAACTTATTAAAATATATTAAATCAAAATTTAATATTTAAAGAAGAAAGAATTTGTCGATCTCATTAAAATATATTAAATTTTTCAAAATAAACCAAAATATATTGAAGTAAAATTTAATATTCAAAAAAAGAAGAGATTTATCGATTTCATTAAAATACATTTCTCGAAATAGGCCACTATTTCGTAAAACAAGCAACAAAATGACAGTCGTACCTATATTGAGGCATTCTGCCGAAGGTGAGAATTTTGTTGACGCTATCTAACGCCGCATCTTCTGCATGATGATTGCCAGAGCTAAAGGTTCTCTGCTGCGGTCTGTTCGAGTACGGCGGGTCGTATTTCGGGACGGTACTCTTTCTTCTAACAGAAATTAGTCAATTATACATATATTATCGAATTTTTAACGCGGGAAAAAAATGAAGAAGCGCATGCAAGCTCTCTTAAAAAATCATTAAATAATACCGGAGAATTTTTAGAGTTTTAATAGCGTTAAGAGGGATTACCAGTTATTTAGAATTTGTTAACGTTGTTATTAATTAGTAATACTGCCGGCGTATGATTAGAGAATTAGCTCAAGGATCAGTTATATAATTTTCTGTTAGTTTTTTTTTTTTGCTAATCGTATATTACTCAATAATTACCTGGAATATAATCAGAATTTATTCCGCAGACATATACGAGATAAATATACCAACACACATAATTGCACAATATTTATTAGTAGAATTCACAGAACTTTATATAAATAATTTATTGTCGTAATTATATGAGTTCCGGCATTACAATACAATTTGTAACAATAAATATGAAACAATATTCAATATTTTCACTGTCCGTATTTTTATTTATTTTTATACACACATCTGTCGCTGAGAACATTGATAATCCCTCTTATCAGTTTGTGGAACGTACATAATTGTCTGCGATTATAATTATTATGAATAATAATATAAGCACTATAAGTAAATTTTGTGTGTATAATATCAATTTCCGAGTTATTTTTTATTTTCGCTACGAAAGTCAACGGACTCTCGACATGCAAAAAAATCCAATTCTGTTTGGGTACTGATAAGATAAAAGTTATGGATAAGAGATGAGATTTGAAAGTAAAGGTTTACATATTTAAAAGAGTTGTTAAAAAATTTTCAAGTAAAAAGTTTTTTCTTGGTAAATAGAATTAAATTTTAGCTTCGAAATATACGTGGTCGAAAAAAGGGTGTTTATTTAAGATGATATTAAGGAAGAGTTTCGAACGAACTTCATTATTACTTATAATGTGTTAAGAACGACAATTAATGTCGGATATATTTTGCAACTTCTCTTATCGTTAGCGGATAAAAGGCAAAAAGCGAATATGCACAGAGATCGTAAAAGAAGGAAAGTTAAAATAGCACGTAAATAAATACTTATACGCAGAAAAAGATATAATTATATATACATGCACCAAAAAAAGCGTAAATAGAGAAACTTTATATTCTTTGAGAAATTTTAAATCAAATGTCTTCGTGAATATTCTACCTCAAACTGTTCTTCGCGTTTAAACAAAATGTACGTGTAAATGGACTAGATTATGATGGACGATTAAGTGATTAATTGCTCACAAATGAGGAAAAACTGCCTTCTCAAAGTAAACAAAGCGAACCGCGCGAACGCTCTTTTATATCAGAATTTATATCAATCTGCATTAAACTACACGAACAAACTGTACTAGCATGAAAGCAACATCGAGAAACAAAAAAATGCTTGCTGAGAGAAAAGAAGCTGCAAATTTTTCGAAGAGCAAACATGCTACTCTTAGCGCGCGCACACTTGTTCCATCCTCTCGTGCAGCACACGTATAAAAAAAAAGAGAGAGAGAAATAGAAAACTCAAGTAGAAAAGATGGAAAAGAGGACACAGAGAGAAAGAGAGAGAGAGAGAGAGAGAAAAAAAAGAGAGAGAGAGAGAAAGAAAGAGAGAGAATAAAATTCTACTTGTGTATGTTTCTGCACACTAACCTGAGACAGAGGGAGAAGTTTTTATGTACTACGACTGACCTGTAGCAGAGAGCCATCAGAGCAAATACTACGAAAACACCCCCTACCACCGACATGAGCATACCAACTAAAAATACAGTGTTAGAGCCGTGGTAGTTCTCTGTTTTTTGTTTTTTTTTTTTTTCGTTTTTTTTTTACGCATTTGTGTGTCACGTAATAATTCGTCGTCATCGTCGTCAGATGTGGCGAGCCGTCGTTTGTTTGTTATTTGTATGTTTTTTTTTGTTTTGGTTTGCAAACCGAAGATTTATACCATTTTGCAGTTTACGTAGTGCAGGAGGGTGGTTCGGTATTTTCGCATCCGAGCCGAGTCCCACATGCAGACAGACAGAGATGGCAGACAGAAACAGACAAGAAACAACGAAGCCAATATCAGCACATGAAAAGAGACAATACATATATGTATGTTATTGTAATAAAAGTGATACGTATTACGTATCACTTTTACGTAATACGTACATAACGCGGAAACAATTGCGACCTGATACACAAAGTGTTCATTTTTAAATCGATGCAACACTTCGAACTTGCTCACACAATTGTCGTTACGATATTAACACAAAGAGAACTTCTTTTAAACTATGCGATTTCGGTTTTTTTTTTTTTGTAATATTATCATTGTGTTATACTTTGTGAAGAGAATGTTTTTTTTTTTTTTATTATCGTGACAATTGACGTGTTGTGCATTTTAAAATGAGCACTATATACATCGTTGTTTCGACTGTCAAACCTCGCAACTCGAAAGATTTGCAAATTTAACTTCTCGTATTTTTGGCAGTAGGGAATGTAATTTTGAGAAAACCGCTAATCTCTGAACTTACAAAGTTTCACAGTCAGAACAACGGCAGTTATGTTCGACGTATGTTCAGAGTCTCGGAATTCTCAAACATGAGAATCCGTTTCGTTCAGTGTTTTCACGAAAATTTCTCTCTAAAAACAATAATATTAAATAAAAATTCAAAAATGTCAAAATTCTCGGAAATTGAAGGAATTCAACGTCCGAGAGCCCGAAAATCCAAAGAGACTAGTAGATTTGTGTGCATCCAAGAGAATAAAAAATTCGCATATATTTGTTTATCCTAGAATGTCCCTGTTCTCTCATATTCTCTCTGAAAAAAAAGACAGTCTCCGTCAGTGCCTTCCGATATTTTGCATACTTTGTTTTATTACAACATATAAATAAGAATAATTAATCTCACAAGTAAACAAACCGTAAGAAAAGAATATAGAATATATCTTAGACGTATATATGTCACAAAAGGGAGAGCATCGAATTTAACTCGTCAAAATCTTGATTTTTCACTTCGAAAAAAAAATCGATCGTTTTAAGTTAGTGAATTGTCCGCCAAGTTGCATACAATTGTTCGATTGAATTGACAATTTTCCAATGAATTTTTTACCAATCAGCTTCTTTCATGCTTTCATAGGGCATACAAGCAGCTGGCACATTGTATAAATTTTTTGATGTCGCTTTTGGAGGGACGACAAACTATTGTTTTGTCACGGAGAGACAAATTTATCAAGCAAATTTGTTTCCACACACAAGTCATATGCTCGTTTTTATTTTAAATAATTTGAGCACAAATTGACGTATTTACCGTTGTCCCTCAAAACGCGATAATCATTAAAAGTCGAGATCCTCGTTCGAACAACATAATTACGATCATAAATCACTATACCATGAGCACATTCATAGCACACACCACATAATGACACAATATTACCCATATATATATATATAATATGTAAATATATAATATATATAAAATATATATAATATATATAAAACATATATCTTGTCACGTATGTGTGCGAGTAAATACAGACGCAAAACCAGCTGCATTCAATTTTCGAGAAAAGTGTCAATAAGTATATTGAAAAAAAAAAAACACACACACCTCAACAAATACTCTGATTTTCAATTACTGATAACAATTAATGTGTGGTTTGATTAATAATCAAAAAGCTCGAGTATTAAATAATTGATTGATATTCAGGATTCACAGGGATCGTGGGAATTAGCATTATCTGGATTGTAATTTAATCTTCTAAGTAACTTAAGTTTCACAAAAAGCGCAGGATCTCGGCATGAAAATAGAAACTTAACTGAATAATCTTGAGAATCCACAGTTGCGTGTTGGGACGCTTTTTTTTCGGGAAATTTTTTAGCTGGGAAATGTGTGCGTGAGGCGGCTAGAAAGTGAATCGAAAGCCAAAGCGTTCTATAGTTCTAAAGAAAAACACAAACGATCAAAACTGCGAAGCGCTATAACAGAATTCAAAGAAAGAGAAAGAGATTATTTACATAATTAGCAAGTTATTATTGCAACTTATATTATATTCGGGAATGCCTGAAAGAGAATAAGAATAGTAAGCGAAACAAAGAAAACATCGAGATAGGAGCATCCTTTTGTAGTTATATCGTGTATGTGTGAACGCAGCGACTTTTGTTTCTGCAACTCTCGCGCGTTTTGTAGTAGTGTGTATGTGTTGTGAGATGATATAAGTGAACACCGAAAAATATAGAATAAATAAAGAATATGATCGACACCGTAATAACAATAACAATAATAATAATAATAATAATAGAGCATGATGGCCGCGTGCGATGCCTCCTCATCAATTTTATCATCATCCAGCTAGCCACGAATTACGACGACGAAGATGAGAGGGACAGGCCTTGATCGCGGGCGATCTGTTCAGCGTTGTTACTGTACCTGTTGCAAACAGCAAACAGTGAAAAAGAAACGAAGACGCCCGTCACCACACTCACCAGCATCACTACCAGCAATCCCGTAGAGAGATTGTTGTTGGTGTGTCCTGAAACGATCAAGCATTTTGTATCCCGCGTGCATGCGGCGTGTACGCGTGCAACCGTGTCATTTATTTTGTGTATTACGTGACTGTGTGTTCAGTGCTTCGCGTGGTAGCTGCGTCCTGATGTAACGTAAATAAATAAAATTTTGATTCGTGAAACTTTCCAACTTCGAACTCTTTTTCTCTCTCTCTCTCTTTCTCAGAGAGATCTCTTTTCTCTCTCGCACGAACAAATTATTATCTCGAACAATTTCGCGCATTAGTTTCAAAAAAAGTCAGAAAGTTTCACTTGTCAGAGCGATGACATTTCACACTATTGAGTATTTTGAGACAAAAAAAAAATAAAAATAAAAGAAACAGGTACAGCGCAACAAACACAATCGGGAAATTTAAGAAACTGAAGGCGAGAGAACATACGAGTTTTCAAGAGTTCGACGAAACCTAGAAATCCGAGTTGAGAGTGTTAAATATATAGATTGTTCTTTACGAACAACGCAAAAAAATGTGAGGCAAAAAGAGTATCGCTTGAGGGGATAAAAGCGGGGAATGTCGCATTCGAAAGGAGCGAGAAAGTACTAAAAGGATGTAAGAGGATACAAAGAGGATCCTTTCTTGTCACTTTTGCTTCTTTCGAAACGAAATCGTGCGTGTATATCGGCGCGATGCGAATTCGCATACACATCAGATCTTATGTGCACAGCTGATAGTATGACCCCAAAAAAATCCTATCCTCTACCTTATCGAGAGCTTACAGTCGATCGAGACGATCGACCGAGTCTACGTTGCTAGAATCGAAGATACAGTAGACTTCTCTTATTTTTTTTTTTTTTTTTTTTATCGGAAACGGCACTATTTCCTGTCCAATCGTTTCTTGTCGAGACGTTTATCGCCGATCAAATGTGAAATTGGTTCAAAAAAAAAAAAAACGTCAATCTTTTACTTTTTCATTTCTCGATACAGATAAGTTTTATATTTAATTTTTTAAAATATTTGCCGTAATAAATATATATATATATACATTACGGATAAACACGCGTTTTTTCAAATGTGTACGTTAAAAAATATTTAAAATTTACATACGTGTATTGAACGTTGTAAAAATCAGAGAATAAAGCTCAACACATCCGATTTTAAAATAAAACTTTATTATTATTATAAACTGTTTAAATGCGCGAGCTAATTAATGTTACTCGCGTAATACCGAGAACAATAGAAGATATATAACCGACGGAAGTCTACTGTATTCGGCGATGAATCACAATGAGTAAGTAACTCAATGATTAATAATTAATAATAATGACAGAAGTATGAAAATAACAAAAATATTATGACTATTACAAATATTCTACATTTTATGTAAATAAGCTTAAATGTTCCATAAAATGTATATATGATATGATTAGTGCGAAATATTGAAGTAGTCAGCCACTCGTATTTTATCCTTCCTATTAATAACAATATATTATAGGTAAATAATATTAGTAATGTTATATAAAACCATATATATATATATATATCGAAGCTCAATTCAAAAATCGGTCCAACGTAAGATCCTTTGCACATAAATTTACAGTGTGAGATTTTTTGTTGTATATTATTTCGAATTAAAATCTTTGCCGCCTTTTTGAAATGAGTGATCGATATTGAAATTTTAGTGCGATCGTACAGTAAAGCGATAAATGAGAGTGATGATCTCAGTTATGATCCTGCGGAAAGCACGTATGCAACAAGCAGGTGAATATTCGGATAATGGCTGAAATTTATGAAGAACTAAATCTCTATATAAAATTTTATGTCTGTCAGAGGGGGAAGACGTCTCGCGCGCTTAGACACAACACAGAGTGAAACAATTCTGCAAGAAGAATGGCGCGTCAATATTTCCCGCTTTTATCCTCTAATTTTAAGTAGTACGGAAAGAAAATTGTTTTTTTGTTTTTCTTTTTTTTTTTGTTGCACATGAGAAACCGCGGCTTACCGTAGGGGGTCTCTTTCTTCACCATTTTGTTATCGGGTTTGTTAACCGGTTCGGACGTGGATGTGGTCGACGGCGTCGGGATCGACTGCACGATGGAGCAATCCGTTCCGCTCCAACCGGGGTTGCAGAAACACTTGTTGACATTCGTACACACCTGCGACAAAATAAAGCACATTTCAAAGAGACAATTTGAGAAACACACTGCATCTCGCGTTCGAACTTTTGAGATACGCGTGCGCGCGCGCGCGCGCGTCAACGATATTATTTAATTATCGCAAGATAATTAGTATCTTTCTGGTAGTGTTTTTTTTGCGAAAGAAAAAAAAACGACTTACGCCATGTCCCGAACATTCGATGTCGCCAATGTTACTGGGACACTTCTCTTGATCGATGTGTGGAAACAAACTCGTGCAGGTTTGATTTATGCAAATCTGCAAAAACGCAATTAATGAGTGAAAACAAAAAAAAGAAAAAAAAAGTAGGAAGCATTACGTAATTTATACAGCTGGTAATTACCAAGTTGTCACCGCAGGAAGTGCCGTCACGAACTAATCCCCATCCCGGCATATCGGATCCTTCCACCTTTCCCCTCGTAGCTCTTGAAAATCGGACAGAGAATAATTGACGACGAGAAATAACGCGTATAACGTAATTTTCAAGCAAGATAATCAAATCGAGAAACTTATATATTTGACAACGATTCGCACTCACTTGCATTCGAACTCTTCTTTCTTGATGGAAATTATGGTTCTCGTGTAATAATCCTTCATTCCCTCGATCACCGGTTGCTTGCTACCTTGTTGACACTGAAGGGATCCGCAGCGAACGTTTCTACGGAGAAAAGCGATGTGTTCTCAATTCTCGTCGTTCCGATTTAACTTCCGACGTCTCCCTTTTGTAGTTTTATTAGTTTTTGTGTGTTTCTTGTATGTTTTTTTTTTTTGTTTTTTAAAGATGATTATATACTCACTCCGCCTCGCACTTGATAAAATGACCGCTGGCGTCGGTACCGCAGTGGCCGTTGATAGATCCCTTCGAGTTAAACTGCTCGAAGCACTTCTGATCGGCGGCGATCCCACCGTAACCCCAGACCTGTTCGCACTGCAGATCCAAGGCCGGACATATCCCGTTGAAGCAGTGAGATGCGTTATTTGAGCAAGGGTTGCCGTTCTTCTTGTGAACGTCCGGCGGGCACTGGCCGGTGTCGCCGGAGCACACCTCCGGCAAATCGCATTCGTTCGTTGACTCGCGGCACACGACACCGCTAGCACGGAGCTGCAGTTTAATTGCCGACGTGTTAAAAATATATATATATATATATTGTGCAGTTTATTTTTTACGTTTCGAAAAACCGAATGTGATGAGTTTTTAATTCTCTCTCTCTCTCTCTCTTTCGTCTTCCTCACCTTGCAATTGCTGCAACACGGGCCGGTCGCGCATTCGGCCTCCGTTGTCAGCTTGCAAGTGATAGGATCGCAACAGGGATCGTACTCGTGACACTCGTCGATCGAACCGCAATCACATTGTTCCCCGTCGTCGATTACCCTGTTTCCGCATGATCTTCTTATCTCAAGCTACGTGGCAAAAAAAAATCCGATCGATTATATACACGGAAACACACGTCAGTCGCGAAAAACATTTCTTGGCGACTTATTTACATGTTGTCGTGTGACGACAATTGATTTAGAAAAGTTTTTTTAGATGCGCAAAAATGGTCGATCTTACCTCATTTGGTTTGTTAAAAAGGCAGAGGCCGTTACCGCTTCTCAAGGCTTCTATATAATCGGTTTTACTACACTCGGAAAACTTGTACGGCTGAACGTTTTCTAGACCGACGATGGACTGGGCCATGATGCATCCGTGCCAATCGCGGCAGTTGCAATCGTTTCCTGAAATATTGTCAACAAACACAGTTTGTCACTTCGATTTTCGATTGAAGCGTAAAAAAGTCAAGTAAGACAAATGTACGGACTTCCATCGTCGTGGCTCATGCCGATATTATGACCGATCATGTGAGCCATTGTGCCAGCTAAGAGGTGGGGCTCGTAAGTATTTAAATCGACGCTGATTCCTACGGATTTTTGGCTGCACACGGTCGATGGTACAGCTACCCCTGATTCTCCACCTGAGAATGTCTCACCCCTGTCGCAACAAGAATATTTCATTACCCTCTCTCTACTTGTGCTCGGAAAATTTATCAGTCAGAACCTATGTCGCGATGTTAAATTAAAATACATAAATATTTTCGTGTTTCTCTTTCTTTCCGAGAGCCTGAAAATTTGATTAAAAAAAAAAAAAAAAAAAAAAAAAAAAAAAACATTCGCGACGGACAAGTACACTCACGTGAGCAATTGGGTGGTGTCCTGAGAAATTTGAAACATTCTCCGCATCGTATAATCGTTAAAGTTTAACAAGGCTTGACCGATGTCGGCTTGATTGATTTGCGCTTGGTTGCTGCCCTGCCAGGTTTCGATGTATACGACGGAGACTCTAGTGTTTAACGTACGGAAATACTGCGAGGGAAAAGTTTATGTCAACTTAGTTTGTGTTTTTTTTTTTTTTTTTGTTTTTTTTTTATTGAAGTTAAGAATATAGAGTTTAAAAGAAGCGCGTGTGCATTTCAGTCTCACCAAATCTGCAATGTTAGCGACTTGGATGGCATCGTGAACAACCTCAGCTCTAGTGCTACCGTTTCTTTTGTCAAACTGCGCATACAAACAATTCGAATGACGTTAGAAAAATTGAATATTATAAAAATACTGAAAAATCACTTCCTTTTTTTTTTGCAAAATTCAAAAGTACACAAAAAACGATTCGAGAATAAAAAGAGTTTTTTAATTTTTGTACAATTCTTTTACGATTCGTTACGTTTGTTGAAAAGAAAAAGTGCATTCATTATTTTTGTAATAAAATAAAAAAAACGTACCATAGCCTTATCGATAACGATGGCAGTTTCGATGTATTTGGTTGCATCACGGACGTCTCTTTTGTATCGATCGGAAACGGCCTCTGATAACCCTGATGATAGAATGTGCTTCTGCCGGCGACTCTTACGCCGGTCAAAATTCCCCGTGTTAGCGCAACCTTTGTTAGCTTTTGTTCGGGCTTCAAATATAATGTGAGGATGTTTCTGCTAAAAGAGAGGCGTGCATATAGTTTGTGTAGATCCGTCGCAGCCATCTTGCCGCGACAAGCTCCCCGTCTCTCTTCCCCCCCGACACCCGACATTCCATTTAATTATAGCACGACCTAAAGTTCCGCGAAGTTTGATATGTTTAATCTAACAATAAAATCAAGCCAAATTAGTCAGCTCGAAATTTAAAGCCTTCAGATACGAGAGATTTAATCTCGTCTCTCTGTTGACATTAGTCTTCAAAAAAACGATGAGCGCGGTTTATTTATGTATACGCGCGTTTTATGTATAAACGCGTGCGATTATCGTAAATTGTAAATTGTAAGTTTCTCGTAATAATTCGCGCGTTTACATTTATTTCCGTATTTTTCAACCACAAAGGCGATTACAGAGAACATCCGATAGCGCGAAATTTACATAAAAAGTAGTTTGAGAATGGAAAGACTTTTTTATGAAAATCTCTGAATTCGCTCTTTTTTAATTCTAATGAGGAAAATTTGCGTGAGATATTCTCGAGTAGACGTATGCATTTTTATTGCTTATCACAAGTTGCGTAACAGCAATATCGAGAAGTTATTTGACATTTGACTGACCGACAGGTCGCCGCCATAGAACGGATGAATGACGAAGGTCTCGTTGCCTAAATGTATGACACCGCTGACGCCGTTACACGTGTGAAAAGCAGCGCTTGCTCCCGGATAATCTCTCACAGTCCCATGATAATAACAATGTTCTATCTCCTGTAAAAGGTCAAATAACACTATCGTTAATTTTATCTCTAAATTTGCGCCATCCCTTTAACATTTAAGTCTCGTATGAGCTTTAAACTCTATTCACGTTGTTGTTTTTTATTTTTTTTTTTTTTAACTCAAAGTACACGATGTGTAACGCCGTAAATGCCTGTACATGTGACATCTTTTCTCTTCGTGACATTAAAATAACTTCTTCGATATAAAAGAAAAAAAAAAAAACAATTGTGCCTCTAACGTTTGTGTCTTAAAAGACCTTTGACAATAGCGAGATATTGTAAATATTAGAAGCGCTTTAATTACTTCAATTATTAAACTCAATTTTTTTTTTTTTTTTTAAGAAAACAGTGCAATGCGAAGCTGTCACAACTGTGCCGAACAATTACGTCTTCGTTATATCTATATCTGCAAATGTCGGTTTGTTCGCGCATTTAGCACGCAATACTTTACCTGCTTAGACATGCTTTCCGCGTCACCGACTAAAAAGTCTTTCTGCATAAGATTTGGAGCTAAAAGTTGCCTGTAATAAATGCACATTTTGCCATGAAGAACATATGATAATTTCACAACGAACGAAGTTTTTTAATTAGAAACTTCTACGAAATCTCATTTACATATATTCGATATTCCGTACAAAATATGTACGAATCTGTGTTATCTGATTAGGAATGCGACGCGATTTTTGCACTTACGTATTTAATTCTAAATCTAGGCGAAATTTGTGATTAAAGGCCTTGATTAGTAGAGACGTCCGATGAAAATGTCTCCCCGTCTGAAAGTATCAATGTTTGCGGTTAAGCCTCGCGGATACTGTTACGAAAGTGTCAAGTGACAAAACTTACTCTCATTCTTCCCCTAGAATTTTGATATCCTTCTCCGTAACCTCGTTGAGGAAACTGTAGTAAAAGGTACAGTTTTACGTTATTTATATGTATATATTAGTTGTTTTTTTTTTTTCTTAAACAAACAACTGTCCACGCGGAGAGAACGGTGTAAAAAGAAAATTGCCGTTTTTACCTTCGACACGCCGACTTCTCTCGTGGATATCCCCATTTTCTCGTGATGCCGTAGCTGTACCGGATAGATGATCTGATAGTAATGGTTACCGATATTTCGTACTAGCTCCTGGTTTTGTCGATATTCGCGTAGTAATCGTTCGACCTCACCTGAAATCAATTTCCACGTTCAATCGAACGCCCTAATTTCGTCCCCTTCGCCCCAACCCCTCCCGTCGTCCTACTCTTTTACCCACTCTCCTACGATCTCTAATTTCATCTCGAATGGACTTTGGGGCGATTCATTGCGTCGCACCGACGAAATTTCGCGCTATTGCCATTACGCTACTGCCCCGTTTCCCGCTAACCACCACCACCACCACCACCACTACCATCGTCGAAGAGCTTAGCCCGTATGACTCAATACTAACGATGACAGTAAAGTAAATTTTACTGTCCTCGTTCCCTTTTGTAACCCGCATATTGGCTCTCTCGCGATCTTAATTGATTTCGGTTTTCGTTTTTGCGATGAAAAAGAGAATTTTCTCAAACACTAAGATTGACGATATAGTCAGTTTATTCTTGACACTATCGGATATGATTTAAATTTTTTTTATTTCATTACAATCATCACACACACATCCGATCAATTCTCTCTACAAATTCTCGAGATGATTTATATTTTGCATCTACATTATCGTTTATCTTCCTCGGATTACATGTCCACGAAGTGGCGAAAACTCTCGGCACATGTTGGAGAATTGCCATCACCGGTGATACATATCGATTGTCCGCGAGATGGGAGGGAGAGGGGAGTTTCTCCTCCGGGCCACTGCTGCTGACTATTTTCCGCGATTTGCAGAATCATTTCGTGTTCTTATTTCGAGAAGTTCGTCGAAGCGCGATTTCGCGAACTCAATTTTCATCTCCACTTTTCAAACGCGCGACGTCCCAAACACGCGCGCGCGCGGACGCGCGTCGAGATTACTCGCCGATTAATTTACCCCTTTTCGCGTCGCTCGTCAAACCTCCGCCCGTCAAGACCCCCTCTATCCCTCTTCTGCCCGCCAATTATTGTCGGTGCCGCAGAAATGTCGCGAGTTCTCCGTGCAAATTGTGCGATGAATTCAGCTGACACGACTGCCGTCGTGTTATATATATATATATATTTCGCTTTTGCTGCTGGTTACACGCGGTGACTCTCGCGCGGAAGGTTGCAAAACTCTCTCGCCGCGTCAGAAAATTCTTTCCTTGGGACTTCGCGCGATTCTTAGAATTCCCCAGAGTGCTTTTAGATTCTGGGATAATCGAATTTTTTTTTTTTTTTCGTTTTGTTTCACAAACGCTGCATTTCTCTTGCACAATACATAATAAATTGACGCTCTGTTTCAAAACTTTAGTTTTTAATTAAACTTCTTAATTCTCTTCGGAATTCTGAATTCTTTGTTGTACTTGAAATACGATGCGCGCGCGAGTAATGTGTTTTATGACAGTTTTAATCCAAAACTAATTAAATTGCAAACTTCGGTAAAAGATTTCCGTATAAATAAATACACGGACACATTCGAAGACTTTATTCAAATTGAATTAAATTTAATGTGATATCGCGCGAGCAGATATTGTGCGCGTTTGCTTACTCGCGTACAATACACGCCCGACAACACTTTACATTCTAATCCCTAATTAAGCCCCTTAATTCTGCAAGATCTGCATTTAGCTTAGTGCCGAGAAATATATTACGTGGAAATTTTCTCAGCTTTTAAAGTCAGATTAAAACAAACGCGCGCGCTGAAATAACTCGAAATTTTTCTCCATCATTGGTCCTTTCTCTCTCTCTCTCTCTCTCTTTCTCTCTCTCTCTCGCTCTCTCTCTCTCTCTCTCTCTCTCGCTTTCGCAAGAGAAAGAGAGGCAGAATTTCCAATACACAATCGTCGTAATATCTAGGCCGAGATTCTCGCCGTCGTTGTCGCCGAGCTACTACGTTCCCGCAGCGCATTGTACCCCCGTCTAAAATGTAATCCAATTTAAGTTTCGCGTTTCCGACCAATCAGCGATGTTGACTTAACAATAAACCGTTTTCGAGGATTTGTCGTATCCTCGAGGATCAAGTTTCTAACGAAAGTGCTGCATTGCGGTCCTTCTACTTCACGGTAGTTTGTTTACGCAGAGAGAGAGTCTCGACGAGAGCGCGCGCGTTATCTCTCGCAGCTGTCGCAATTGCGCAAAGATTGCGACAGCAAATCCGCGCAACTCGTAACGACATTTTAATTATGCACACCGCAGATTGATTTACAAATGATCTCGTTATTGAGTTGACGTTAATCGAAAATTGACGTTTCACTCACCAACGGGAGTTTCTTCTTCTTTCCAAAAGGAATCATCTAAAGTGTAGTCAGCTTCTAAAACAAAAAAGAGACACGAGAAATGAAAAATTTTAATATTTTATTTTGCGAAGAACGAGATATTGCGAAGCGTTGCCGGCGAAGATATAAAGATAAATTACTATAATAACGTGACATGCGTTTCGGATATTTCACCGACTCGCGCTCGAGAGCTTCGGTCGAGATAAACTTCATCCAAACTTTTCTGATCATGCTCAAATAAGAAATCGAGAATCGAGAAAGAACAAAGGAATCAAAGTGTTCATGCTGGTATATATTCTTTGTCTAATCCTGACGAAGTGTTTGACATTTAAAACACACAAGATTTTCTACGTTAAATCAAAAGCTGTTTTTTTACTTAAATGCAAAAAAACATTCTACGTTTGCCACGTGAAATATTTAACGACGTTTCGTGAAGCATGCAAACTTTTCTTTTTATGAAGGTGGAAAAAAAAACAAATGCGGAGAGAGAACGTCCTGCGCAAGGACGAGAATAGTTTATAAAAACTTTTTCATTTTTTTTTTGCGCAAAAACTCCTTGACGCAAAATTCATAAGACGGACACACCGCTAGATAAAGGGACGGCGGATTGCACTGGCCTACTTCCGGGTCTGGAGCACAAAAAAATCAGCCGAGGGCGAAGTCAGCCCCGAATGGATCAGAGTCAATGACGCAGCTCTATAGCAACGATTCTTGACCCTCCGTAGCCCTTCGGGCCTTTCGAGCGAGAGCCGGAGCATCGCGTCTTCTTCTAGACTAGATGAGATGATGACTCGGTAGAATTTTTTCAATCATCGATGAGACTTATCTCGCAAAGCGAAAGCCTTTAAGATAATTTTACGTCACGGACTTTCAAATGTGTTACAAGGTAATATTACTTTTTGCTCGATACGTCCTCTCTCTCTCACTCTCTCGTGAGACACGTTCACGTTTAGACACATGAACAAAAATGTCGGAAGTCCGAGATCCGGAGTTGGGTCCTGTAAGATCAGTTTGAAAAATATTTGACGTTTTAAAAGTCAAAATGCATTTTGTCTCCTTCCTACGAAGTTTTATGCGCGAGAATAAAATTAATAGCGCGCTCATAGCACGCTCGTCTGTCCGGTGTGAATGCAAATTAGAAAGCATAAATAAGAAACAATATGTAAATAAGAAGTCTATTAAGACGGGGAAAAAGTGTGACGGGATATAAACGTGAAAAAGCGTTGCGAATAGTATTTGAGAAGAGAAATGAGCGAGAAGCCAACAGAGAGAGAGAGTTCTCAAAGAAACTGACTCGAAGTAGGCATATCACATTTACCGCGTTTGGTGCACCTACTGCAAAGCGTCGAAAACGTCGAGAGTGCTCTTTTAACTCGGAAATTTGTGTGTACTCGTCCAATGCGATTGGTCGATTAGCTTTGTTTGCGTTCGGTTTTACACCTCCGACGTTTTCGATTTGCAATGCCGAATGCAGTTATCGAACTGAGCACATAGAACTGAGCAATCAATTTATCTGCAACTGTGAAAGTAGATTTGGTCTTCAAAGAAAAAGTATCCTTAAATCCCTTAAGTTTGAAAGCGCGCGCGCGCGCGCGCGGAGAGAAAGCGCAAACAAGTGTGTGACAATTCCGATCGAAGGTTTCGAACGAGATTTGATGCAGCGACAGTTTTGCGCGTGTGCGCGTGCAACGACGAAGAATTTGACGATTAAGTTGTCCGAGATTGTAAAATAAAAACATCTTTTTTTTTTTTTTTTAGACAGAGACTGAAGTACCAAAACTAATATGGGAAAATGTGGGTGATCGTAATAGGGATGAAGGATTCCGGAAGAGAAAATTGGTTAGGTTTGAGGCACCATGTTGTCGTACATATGGGACCGAACAATCGGTTTATCTAGGACTCAAAGCACCGTTTTAAAGGAGCCCGAGATCACCCAAGTTTCAAAGCGCACTTGATAAGATAGTGCAAAAGGGGAACGTACGAGGGAAAGAGAGAGTGAGGAGAAAGAGAAGAATGAGAGAGAGAGAAAAAAGGAGAGAGAGAGAGAGAGAGAGAAAGAGACAGAGAGAGAGAGAGAGAGAGAGAGAGTGAGAGAGAGAGAGAGAAAGAGAGAGAGTGAATCCTGGGCAAGGTTTGACTAGGTTCGGTTCGGTGGCATTGCATATCCCGGCACATCTCGCAGGTGCAGGGCGTGGTGCCTTGTCGGCAATATCGATTACAAACCCGGGCGGTTGCGCATTCACGTCGACACGTGGATGTGGACCGGCAGTCAGACTAAATTTGTGTTGTCCTATATTTTAGGTTTCCGCACTCATCTGCCTCTCAAAGATTGATTGCTTTCGTCCCTTACCCTTTGCTCTTTCTTCCTATTCTCCCTGTTCTCCCTCTATCTCTCTCCCTCGCCCTCTCTCTCTCACTCTCTCGCCCTTTCTACGTTCCCTCATCTCTCGCTATATCTAAGGGCGCTGCACTGGAAGTTACGACCCTTCACAGGTCAGATCGTGATTCGAAGACTCAAGCTCGCGTGGAATATACGAAAAGTATACAAAAATATTCGAAGAAAAGAAACTCGAAGATATAAATTCGATAGTCGCGGGTTCGTAGATCCCGAAAGATTAAAATCAAATTTGCGAAGTATATAATGTAAATGTATTACCGAGTTTCCTCCTAAAATTTCTTTGCAACTTGTTACCGAAAGATAAAGTTTGTAAGTTAAAAGCGCCCACTTTATTAGTTTCTTTGAATTTGTTTTGTACAAAGAGTATATTACTCGGCGAACATCTTAAAACGTGCTTTTTTCCTTTAAGACCTCTTAACTTTATTGCGGAAAACGGCAGCTGTCAATTCTTTCTTATAGTCAAGACTCTTCCATCGGCTCATATTGATTTCATTTCACTGTCAACGTAAACCACTTTCGCGGAAGACTTATTTTATTTGTAAGAAAGACATCCGGCAATTTTTTAGAATCAGTAACCCCAGATATTATACAAACATAATTTTATAATTCTTACAAAAAAGTTCTCTTTTTCTTCTCTTTCTCTTTCTCTCTCTCTTTCATTTTATTATTTAATTATTAAATTTATTTTAATAACATGTATTTGCACGAGTACATGTACGTACTAGAATAGATACAAAAAGTTTTCGCAGTCCCACAGTGTTTTTTTCTCCTGAATAAGAAGCTCCATTTTTCCTTGGATATGATACCTTAGCAAGGTCTTTCTTGTCGTTTGTCCCGGAGGCCAAGAACACATTTATTTCTTTTTTCCGGGAAAGTAAACAATTTGCACTCCCTCTTAAAAAAAAGACCGTTCTAAATTTCAGCTTTTTTATTCGGAAAGCATTATTATACTCGTGTTTTTTGTTTTTTTTGTTTTTTTTTGTTTTTTTGTTTTTTTGAGACATTAATTCGAAAATACACCAGAGCACAGTGGATACTACTAAAATATGCATGCACACGGAAGAGAGGCAAAAAATCGCCGAAATTTTCTCGGCGTCGAACTTGTGCAAAGTAATTTTCCTCGGAAATTATCAACGACCCGTTGTCGTCGTGCTGGTTCACATTCTGAAATCCCACGATTACGGCCTTAAACCCAACGCGCAATCCCAAATCCGCAGTATCCTCCTCTCGCCAGACTCAAAGGGTTGCGTCTCCGCTTAATGGAGCCCGCCTACGTTCGAGATAAATTGCCGGCGTGGAAATCCTTTTCCTGTGCAAACTATTTATCCCGACCAGCATGGAAACGTTTTCCGATGAGATGAGAAGCCGCGAAGAGAAAGAGAGGATTCACGATGAGAGAGAGAGAGAGAGAGAGAGAGAGAAAGAGAGAGAAAGAGAGGAGTTAAAGAAGGATGAGGAAAATACTATGTGAATGGCGGACCGGTTGAAATACAACTTCAGCTCCTTCACCTGCTTCTATTTATTCGCTCTTTCGTCTTAATTCTGTGATATTCCTCTGGAAGATCCACGAGAGCTACGAGAGATTTTTCGGATTCAAAATTCCAAAAATGCAGAGATGAATTTATTCAATGTTTGAAATGGATTCTCTGTTTGAGCATTCGAGAGTTTTGCAGTAATTTATTTCTTTTTTAAATTCTTATTTGTCTCGTAAATATCTTTGCTGTATACGCGAAGAAGATCTAAAGTCGGATAAATACGCAATCAGATACGAGGAAAATATTGCTTTGAACTGTCTTTTCTCTTTGAATTTGTCTCTCGTTTTCGCGTGTTTGACGCACCTATTTATTTCCTATATTTATTGAAGGTGAGCGAGTCACAGTCTGCAGGTGGGACAAATACCTAGTGTACACACACACACATCTCTCAGAAATACTGCCACTCCCATCGTTTTACGAATTCTTTGGCCAATTTAAAAAGTCGCGCTCCCCCGCATACATATAATATTTATACTAAAATTCCTCTCCAGTTATTAAATATGTTATTAAATTGTAGCATTTGTTATATTGTGTCTTCAAATTATAGCTTATTTCAACATACAGAAACCATATATGAGATCGAATTTTTATTAGTATACTGATGTCGGTGATTCCGAGTGTCAGAAAAAAATAAAAAAAAATCATCTTTGTCGCAAAATAAACTCCGTTTGTGAAACAGAGATAAAAATAAAACGTATAAATAGAAAACATTATCCCCAAATCATCGGATGTCCACATAATTCATCAACGTGAAAACAAAGAGAAAGTGAGTCTTCGCACAGAATCCCGCTAATAAAAATCCCTTAACAAGCACAACGGTCGATCGATATTCCCACACCGTTACGAGCGTGTGTGTATGCGATACAAATATGAGATCAAATTTTCTCCCAACGTCACGACGCTGAGACAAAAATGATACACTAACGATGCGCAATTCCGGGTGTGAGGACAATGATTAATTACGCTTAAGTGATTCTCGTTTCCCCCTATATAATAGCATCTGTAGTGTAGGGTCACACGCGTCTCCTTCTCTTCCGCCCGACTAGGATGAAGGTTTGCGCGCATTCGTTTCAGATTTCAAACGCTTTGCCACTTCGAATATC